TGCAAGCCTTTAATCCCTGCACTCGGGAGGCAGAAGCAGGTGAATCTCTGTGAGTTCAAGGTCAACCTAGTCTACAAGAGCTAGTTCCAGGACAGGCTCCAAAACTACAGAGAAACTATTTCGAAAAACTAAAAACATATATATCACTGTATTAGATCCAACAAAGTCTCTTTCAACTAATAGACCTAATAGCCCTTGCAGAATGTAATTAAGAAATCACTATTGCTGGGTGATGGTAGCTCACTGCAGACCTTAATGCAAGCACTCAGGAGGTAGAGGCAGGTGGATCTCTGTGAATTTTAGGCCAGCCTGGTCTACAGAGAGAATTTCATGACAGCCAGGGTTGTTACAAAGAGAAACTCAGTCTTGAAAAACTAAAACAAATAAAACAAAACAAAAGAAAGGAAGAAAGAAAGAGAAAGAGAGAGAGAGAGAGAGAGAAAGAAAGAAAGAAAGAAACCACAATCAAGTTTCCCATTAGACTTGGCTCAGGGCTCCCCAGACGCAAAACTAATTTAACAGAACTCTGCCCAGAGGCCACTAGGGGGCGCTGTCTTCAGCCCCCGAAAGGCCTACCCTGAGTCTAGGGAGGAATTTGTTCACTGCCTTCTGCCTTCTTGTTGCTTCAGGTCTTGCTCATGCTCACAGTCCCCGAAGTGCCCATTACAGCCCCCATAAACAGGAAATCATTACAGCCCCCATAAACAGGAAATGAAATAGTCACCAACCAAAATTAGTAGCGATCTCAAAATAGATGAAGATAGGTACGTTCTGCGAGTGGTGCGCTGGTTAAGGGTGAGACTGAAGCCCAGCCAAGTGCCCTGCGTGGTGACACGCGCCTACAGTCTCAGCAGTTGGAAGTTCAAGGCCAATCCGGGTCACTTAGTGAACCAGGAGGGAATCTGTAAGTGAGAGGAAATTCTGGGTTCGGTAGCCAATCAGACCCCAGAGGCTTACATAGGAAGCGGTCTGCATGAGGCAGACAGGAACATTTATGCCCGATAAAAGCATGGAACAGAATGGTGTACGTCAGCGGAACTCCTCTGCCCATGTTGGCATTTTGTGCATGGTCCGCTGAGCAAAACTGATGTTAGACTTATCTTGACTCAAGTATGATTGCTACAAAAAGCTAAATTTAAATTTTTAATTATTTCAAGTCTATGTATGTATGCATGTGTGCATGTGTGTAAACAAGTCAGTTCTGGGGATTGAACTCAGATTGTCAGGCTTGTCAGCATGTGTTTTTCCCTGTGGTGTCTTACACCCCACCAGAGTGACAAATACCGCTTTTTTTTTTTTTTAATAGATCCTGTCACTGGGCACATTTCTCAAGGAAGTTTCTCAAGAAAGGGAGCATGGAAGTTGCTTGTTTTTGAGACAGAGTCTCCCTATTTAGCCCTGGTTATCCTGGCGTGAACTCACAGAGATCTGTGTGCCTCTGCCTCGGGAGTGCTGGGATCCACGTCATGAAGTGTTTCTTATATTTTTGGTTGTAAGCTTAGTTTTTAACGGCTGAGCCATCCCTCCAGCCGAGCGAAGTGTTTCTAAGAGCAGCTAAGAGCTGGTTTACAGGCTGCACCCTGCTTGACTCTTCCTCTTGAACAGGGTCTAATGTAGCCTAGGCTAGCCTCAGACTTCCTATATAGCTGAGACTGCAAGCCATCCCTGGCTCCCTTCTGAAGTTTTCTGCATCTTTTAGTGGGTATGAGCTTTCCATTTCTATAACAAAATCCCTGGAACCATTCAACTCAAAGGAGGCGGTGTGGGGGAGGTGTGATGCACTCTTTCAGTTCTAGACCTTGGGAGAAGAAGCAGATGGATCTCTATGAGTTCTAAGCCAGACTGGTCCACATAGTGAGTTCCACACAACAAGGTTACATAGGTGAGACCCTGTCTCAAAAAACATATTTAAAAAAAAAAAAAGAGGAGGGCTGGAGAGATGGCTCAGCGGTTAAGAGCATTACCTGCTCTTCCAAAGGTCCTGAGTTCAATTCCCAGCGACCACATGGTGGCTCACAACCATCTGTAATGATGTCTGGTGCCCTCTTCTGGCCTGCAGGCATACATGTACACAGGATATTATATACATAATAAATAAATAAATATTTTTTAAAAAAAAAAAAAAAAAAGAGGAGCCGGGCGATGGTGGCGCACGCCTTTAATCCCAGCACTCGGGAGGCAGAGGCAGGTGGATCTCTGTGAGTTCGAGACCAGCCTGGTCTACAGAGCTAGTTCCAGGACAGGCTCCAAAGCCACAGAGAAACCCTGTCTTGAAAAACCAAAAAAAAAAAAAAAAAAAAAAAAAAAAAAAAAAAAAAAAAAGAGGAGGGAAGGTTTCTTTTGGCTCATATTTTCAAATGTTACCATTTTTTTTTTTTCGAGACAGGGTTTCTCTGTAGCTTTGGAGCCTGTCCTGGCACTAGCTCTTGTAGACCAGGCTGGCCTCAAACTCACAGAGATCTGCCTGCCTCTGCTTCCCGAGTGCTGGGATTAAAGGCGTGCGCCACCACCGCCCAGCTAAATGTTGTAGTTTATATCTGGTCCAGTTGCTTTGGAGTCTGTGATGAGACAGAAAGGGGAAACACATTTATGGATACATTCCCAGTGCCCACTCCCTCCGCCAGGTCCCACCTTACAGTTTCCACCCCCTCCCAATGTTAAGCTATCCTAGTCACAAAAGCCCTGATAAGGTCAGAGCTCTCATGATCCAACCGTCTCCCAAGAGGAATCACATCTTTGAACACTGTTGCATTTGGGGACCGAGGCTTCAGTACACGAGCTTGAGGGACCATTTCAGATCCAAAGCAGAACGACGGCATTCAGGGATTCTGTGACATGTGTTATCAAGTTAACCACAAGACGATGGCGTTTCCTCTCAGGCCGTTTTACAGCAAGCCATGGTCTGTAATCACAACCAGGGCCTGAGCACAGACCGTGGCTTCCTGGATCAGAATACAGTCCGACCATCCTCATTGTCTGAACTTTGAATTGCTTGACTCTGAAGAGTTAGGCCCCTGTGGATGGCCGTCCTTCAGCTTCCTGGCATGATCCTCCTGATGCCCACCATAAAATCGTTCTTGTGTTCTGTTCTGTGCTGGAGTGCTAAGCACTCCATGGCAGCCATCTTGTCCACATCAGTTTAATCCTATCTGAATAGAAGAGCAAAATCCTAGGGAAGAATTATCAACCAGTCAGTTTGACATTGTGAATTCTATACTAAGGCCAGAGAAGTCCCTTAGGACGGTGACCAAAAGTGATGTCTGGTCCAAGGAGTTAAGTCACTCTCTTAAAATTGAGAGGCTGGGGCGGAGAGATGGCTCAGTGGTTAAGAGCACTGGCTGTTCTTCCAGAGGTCCTGAGTTCAATTCCCAGCACGCACATGGTGGCTCACAACCATCTGTAATAAGATCTGGAACCCTCCTCTGGCTTGCGGGCATACATGGAGACAGAATGTTGTACTCATAATAAATAAATAAATAAATAAATAAATAAATAAAATCTAATAAATAAATAAATAAAATTGAGAGGCTGAATCATTCATTACATTTGGCCTAAAGCTACTTAGTCCCCCTACAAACGATAAGCAAACTCAGTGAGAAATCAGCTCTGTCTAACTGGAGGGAACCTCCTCACAGGTAGCCCATCACAAGCCGAGACCTGCTCTCAGTCCACATCAGGCAGCTGTGTAGTGACTAAGGTCTCACTGGCAAGGCTTCCTCTCGCTGTTCATCAACCTGCCTTGCAGGCAGCGGGCTAAATCTCTCTAACCCTTCATGCCTCAAGTGCTGCCTGGGTCCTGAGTCCTCCTCTGCTCAAGTAAACACGACTCAGTATAATTTGTCTAGGTTTTCTTCCAGCAATGACAAACACAGATGGCCGCCAGCCTCAGCCCTGCAGGAAAGCACAGGCCAACCACAGAGCTCAGAAGTGACAGCTGCCAGTAGGCTCCTTTCTGTGCCATCCCCCCATCCCTGTGCCTCCCCCTACCCCCACACCCATTTCAGGCCCGAGACCTGGACAGCCTACACTGTTGTGTCCTTGCAGGAGCCTCCCAAGGTCTCTGTCTAACAGCCGTCCTCTCCTCACGGCTTGTTTGCCACCACGTGAAGGCATGAACTTCTGAACACCTAACCCTGATGCTTCAGCCCGCATCTTTCGTTGGTTCTCTTTGGGGAACTGAATGCTTCTGTGTCTTGGCAAAACCTTTCACTAACTGGTGCCAACATGTCCCTTCAGCCTGTCACACAACCTCTCCTGTCCTGCTGCCACGTCTCTGAACGCCCCATATGGTGGCATGGCATCCTGGCTGTATTCCTCAAGACTCACTGTGGTATCACCCTGTGGCGGATCTTCCTGACCCATTCCCTGAAAGGTTGTCCTGTGTCCCCTGTCCACTGTGAGTTTGACATCACATTGGAGACCTGAGTCACTGTTTAAAATGTTCAAAGGCGGGGGGGGGGGGGGGGCTGGAGAGATGGCTCAGTGGTTAAGAGCATTGCCTGCTCTTCCAAGGTCCTGAGTTCAATTCCCAGCAACCACATGGTGGCTCACAACCATCTGTAATGAGGTCTGGTGCCTTCTTCTGGCCTGCAGGGATACATGTAGACAGAATATTGAATACATAATAAATAAATAAATTAATAAAATAAAATAAAATGTTCAGAGAAATGGTCCTTCCTGACATTAGAGACTTGGGAGCCACATACAAGACTCTGTGTCTAACTCATACATGGGTGACCTCAACTGTGGCCCTGGCCCTTGGGTGCCCACCCATAGGACTCTGAGGAAAGTCCCTGAGCTTGTGACGTCGGCTGGGATTGAGAAGTGGAAGAGACAAACACTAATGGTGGCTGATGGGAGCAGAAAATGAGGCACACATCCCACCTCGGGTGGCCACACCTTATGGCCTGGACTTTGCCTGACCTGGGCAGGCGAGTGTAACCGTGCTCAGCAAGCCAGAGGTGCCAGGGCTTGCTCTTTCAGTTCCGGTCACAGCCACCATACCCAGGATGATGTGGGAGCTGTACCTGCTGCTACTGCTGGGACTGGGACTCAGGTCCCAGGAGGCCCTGCTGCCACCCTGTGAGAGGTAGGAGTTGGGGGAAGCGGAATGTAGAAAGGAAGGCAGGGGTGGAAGGCTGGAATGAGAGCTCACCCTCTGAGGGCCAGCCTCTCAGAGGGGAAGTAAGTCGGGCTTGTGGGGTAGGTCCTGTGCCAGACACCAGACTTACTGTGTTGGGGTGACCCCAGAGCTGCTGACCACAGACTACCTTCTGTGCTGCTGGCCAGAGTTCACCATCCAAGCTGTTCCTCCGACTGAGCAGGGCTGTTCCCTTCATTGTTCTAGCAAACCTTTCCTATCCTGGAATGAGGGGAGCCTAGGGCCTGTCAAGAGACTGTGAGGTTCAGCCAACCCTGCTGCTCTCTCTGTGCCCCAGGGCAAGTCAAACCTTTTTTGTGAGCCCAAGCTTCTACCAGCAAATACACAGATGAGGGTACCATTCTGCCTCCTGGACGTGGCAGCTGCCGTTCCCTCTTCCACTTGGGCTCAAGAAGTTCTCACCCCACGTCCACAGCACCAGCTCTTGAAAGAAGGCTAAAAACAGAGCCTAGGAGGGAGAAAAGCCAAGAGAAGCCGGGGAGCTCAGCAAGGAGTAAACAGAGGGTGTTATGATGGAGGAGGAGTCTCAGAGGAGGCAATGAAGAAGCGGTCCCGCGGAAGGAGCAGAATGGGACAGCCAGTCTGCAGCACAAAGGCCCCTAGGTGTCTTTCGATGGCCACAAAGTCCCATGTGGCCAGGATGGAAGTAGGAACAGGACATTAGGTGTCCATGCTCCGGTGGCAGGACTCGGGCGGGGCAGAGTCCATAAGGGATGGCGTTCTGAAGACTGAGTTGTGGAGATTTGCTGGTGAGCAGCTGTGAAGTACGGAAGGAAAGGAAGGGTCTGGAATGGTTAGTAGGACTTGTCTGGTCTGCATAGTCGGGATTTCAGGATGGCTCTTTGATCCAGTCTCGAGTCCTGTTAGGATGTTTACAGAGTGTAGCGCAAGCACCTGCTGCTTGTCCCTGGCACGTCACTGCTCTCCTTGGGTAGTCACGTGTGTGTGAGGGGATGAGAGCCACTGAAGGTACAAATGAACAGGGCAGGGTCCAGGAGAGAAGACACTCCACCTTCCAGCTGTCTCCTCCCAGGGCACGAACACATGAAGAACTGCCAACCGGGAGGCTCCTTGAGCCTCAGTGCTGAGTGTCTTTTGGGGGTCTTTCACAGTGACCTCTCTGGGTCTCCAAAGGTTAAACTGATATCGTGTGGCCTGTTGTCCCCACCATAAGTCACAGCATTCATCTAAGATACCCACTGTGCTCCAAGTCCCATGCACACACCCACCAGGCAGCACGTTCTGCAGGTCTTAGCCCTGCTCTCTCAGGTGGCTCAGGGGCTTGGTGAGGCGCAGCAGGGAATGCAGCTCTTGTGCAATCCACACTTTCCTGCTGTGGGATGCAGGGCTGAATGGCCTTCCTCTCTGGCTCCTGGCAGGTTATCACTAAGCCCTGGGAATTTCTCACACAAGTCTGTCCTTGTTGCTCTTCCTGGGCCTTCATGGCTCAAGAAAATAAGGTGACCTGTGGCATGTCCCCAGGGAGCTCGAGCTTCCAGGGTGCCTCAAGATGGGGGCAGCCTCTCCAGAAACACAAGAATAGGTTTATTCTTTGGGACCTTTGATGGTGGTGGTGCACACCTTTAACTCCAGCACACAGGAGTCAGTTCGAGGCCAGCCTGGTCTACACAGTGAGTTCCAGGACAGCCAGAGCTTTACAGAGAAACCTTGTCTCAAAAAAAAAAAAAAAAAAAAAAAAAAAAAAACAAAAACAAACAAAAGTGCAATCACAAACATAGTGATTTTCTGGGTTCTAGCAAATAATGGAATCTGAGGAGACCCTGGGAACTCCTGTCCTTATACACAGCGAGGTAGCACGAGGACCCCCTTAAGCTTACAGCTGTCCTCATCATAAAGGAAGGGCTGCTCTCTTAACCCATGTGTGGAATCTGCGTGTCTCCAGGTGCTTGCACCAGAATTAAATTGCAATTGGTATTAGTGTGTGATTTAGGAGAATGACACCAATCCCTTAGGGGACTGTTCGGAAAATGAAAGGACAAAAGGCCAGGTGATGAGCTGGAGAGACCGGTCAGAGGTTAAGAGCACTGGCTGCTCTTTGAGAGGTCCTGAGTTCAATTCCCAGCAACCACATGGTGACTCACAACCATCTACAATAGGATCTGATGCCCTCTTCTGGCCTGCAGGTGTATGTACACAGAGTACTCATGCAGTGTGTGTGTGTATGTGTGTGTGTGTGTGTTGAGGACGTTTTCATTCTTGATCGATTTGGTACTGAAGGATACTTGTGCCAGTCACACACAGTGCACACCTTTAATCCCAGTACTTAGGAGGCAGAGGGAGGCAGATCTCTGTGCAAAATGAGTTCCAGGACAGTCAGGCTATTATACAAAGAAACCCTGTCTTGAAAAAAAAAAAAAAGAGGCAGAAGCAGGTGAACCTCTGTGAGTTCCAGGCCAGCCTGGTCCACATAGTATGTTCCAGAAGAGCCAAGTCTACGTATCAAAGCAAATGAACAAGAAAACAAACAGAATAGTTGTGCTGTGGTAATAGTGGTGGGATTTTAAGATGATGAATTCAACTCCTAAGGAACTGACTCTCAGATACATAAGGCAAAGGACACCAGTAAGAAAAAGCAGGAGTAGAGAGAAGGATCAGTGTATAAGAATACACACGACTCTTCCAGAAGGTTGGAGTTCAGTTCCTGGTACTCATTCCTGGCAGCTCGCACCCGCCTATAACTCCAGCTCCAAGTGATCCAGTATCCTCTCTGACTCCTTGGACACCTGCTCACATGTGTGTGCAGCCACTCTAGGACACACTCTAGGATGAGCACACACTCTAGGACGTGAAATGTAGCTTAGCGTGAGTGAAGCCCTGGGTTTGATCCCGGAACTGTATGATCAAAGCATGGTGGCACCTACCTCTAAACGCAGCACTAGGGAGGTGGAGGCAGGAGAACTACAAATTCAGTCAGTCTGAAGGTCATACTCAGCTATACAGCAAGTTGGAGGTCACCTTGGGCTGCGTGAGACCCTACCTCAGGCGAGATGGCTCCGTGAGTCTGGCTGTGTGGTCCAGGCTGACTGCCAACTCGCGGTCCTCCTGCCTCACCCACTCTAGGATGGGAATATAGGCATGCACCATCACTCCAAAGGGATTGCTCACCGACTGTGGAGCAAAGATCGGGCCTTGAACCAGCGGCCTTTGAATACTTCTCCAGCATAATGCTGATACTTTGGACTGGAAAATTCTAGCCAGTGAGCTAATTAGTAGCATACTATCAGCTATTCTAAAACTAAAGGGCACGAGATATTGTGGACACCTGAAAGACTACGGCATCCTGGGAAATGTTGGAGTAATGCTCTCTGGGAGAGGGCTGTGCCCTACGGACACCCTCCGTGGATCCACATTGTCTTACAAATGTGTGTTCAAAGGTGAACATGGAGCATGCTGTTTTAATGGAAGGAAATAAGAGCTCAACTCCATGGGCTCAATTGAGACTCTTTGTCATTGAATTTGGATTTTCCCCAACTCTTGAGCAGAGAGGTTCATAATCTGGTCATAATGGTCAGGCAGAAAGATAACGGTGTAGTTGATAGAGCACCTGTCTATCACACAGGAAGCTGACCCCGGCACTGAATGAATAGAACAGAGTGGTTCATTCCTGTAATTCCACCACTCAGGAGATGGAGGCAGGAGGATCAGAAATTCAAGGTCACCTTTGGCTCCATTTCTAGCTCCAGGCCAGTCCCGGATGCAGGAGATGCTGAGTTATAGCATAATTAAGGAGTAGGAGAATTGGGACCAGCAGTGAAGACATTTGTCATGTACAGCAGGGAACGGTGAGAGATAAAAGATGTGAAAGGCTGGCTTGCACACCTTCACACGTGTGTGCTCACACTCAGCCTTTAGGGAGCTCTGAAGGCCTCTGCTTTTCCAGGTGACTTAGAGAGCAGGTAGAGGAGGATGCTGACCTGACCAGCCAGTTCTTGAGGGGGAAGGGAACAAACAGTACAGCTGTTGTTTTCTTATCATCTGAGCTTGTCCTCGCTTACATCACACCCTGGTCCCAGTAGCAGGACTGTGGCTATGAGCACCAGGAGCCAGGGTGGTTCCCGAGCAAGGAAATAAAGCCTTGACTAGCAGTCTCCGATTTTTTGTTTGTTTGTTTGTTTGTTTTTAAGATTTTTTTAAATTGATTTTTATTGAGCTCTACATTTTTCTCTGCTTCCCCTCCCTGCCTCTCCCCTTCCCTTCAATCCTCTTCCATGATCCCCATGCTCCCAATTTACTCAGGAGATCTTGTCTTTTTCTACTTCCCAGGCCTGCAATTTGAAACCAGCTGCTTCAAACTCTAAGCAGCCTAAAGACCCTCAAGTTTCTAACTGGTGTCTGAAGTGAGGGTGGTCTTCTTTTTTTTTTTTTTTTTTTTTTTTTAAATATTTTTTTATTTATTATGTATACAATATTCTGTCTGTGTGTATGTCTGCAGGACAGAAGAGGGCACCAGACGTCATTACAGATGGTTGTGAGCCACCATGTGGTTGCTGGGAATTGAACTCAGGACCTTTGGAAGAACAGGCAGTGCTCTTAACCTCTGAGCCATCTCTCCAGCCCAAGTGAGGGTGGTCTTATTAGATTGTACCTTATACATGAAGCCTGGTTAGTATCAGAACTGAACCGCCCGCTTCACAGCTGTTCTGACCTTGGCCAAGATTCTTTTTTTTTTAAAAAAATTAATTAATTAATTTTGGTTTATTTTTGTTTTCTGAGACATGGGTTTTTTTTTTTCTTCTGTAGCTTTGGAGCCTGTCCTGGAACTCACTCTGTAGACACCAGGCTGGCCTCGAACTCACAGAGATCTGCTTATCTCTGCCTCCTGAGTGCTGAGATTAAAGACTTGTGCTACCACTGCCCAACTTTTTTTTTTTTTTTTTTTTTTGAGACAGGATCTTTCTATGTACTCCTGACTGTCCTGGAACTCACTGTGTAGACCATGTTGGCCTCAAACTCACAAAGATCTGCCTGCCTTTGCCTTCCAAGAGCTGGGATTAAAAGATGTGTGCCATCATGCCTGGCCCATACTTTATCTATTTATTTGTTTGTTAATTAATTTATGTTTATGAATGTAAATGCACCCCATGCATGCAGTGCCTGTGGAGGCCAGAAGAGGGGCGTCAGCACCCTGAAACTGCAGTCAGAAACAGTTGAGATTTGCCATGTAGGTGCAGGGAACCGAATCCAAGTCCTCTGCAAGAGCAGTAGACGCTCTTAACTGCTGAGCCAACTTTCCTGGCCACTGGCCAACACTTTTATAATAGCACCATGCTATACATCTGGACATTTCCACTTAGCATAGAACTTACATAAAGGACACAGTTATGGGATCAGTCAGATTATGGGAGGATTTGAAAGCATTGATGAAGACTGGAATGGATTTAAAGAAACAACCAGTCTGGCTTACTAACGTCTAGGGATACGTTTCCACTAACTTGATCTGTGGTTGTGCCTTAGGTGAACAACCTGGGTGGGACTACTTAGTTCAGAAACTACTACAGGTCTTCTTAGGCCAGCCTGCTCCTTTGGCACTCTGTCCAGGGGATATCTAACTACTACAGGTCTTCCTAGGCCAGCCTGCTCCTCTGGCACTCTGTCCAGGGGATGTCTAACTACTACAGGTCTTCCTAGGCCAGCCTGCTCCTCTGGCACTCTGTCCAGGGGATGTCTAACTACTACAGGTCTTCCTAGGCCAGGCTGCTCCTCTGGCACTCTGTCCAGGGGATGTCTAACTACTACAGGTCTTCCTAGGCCAGCCTGCTCCTCTGGCACTCTGTCCAGTGGATGTCTAATAACTACTACAGGTCTTCCTAGGCCAGCCTGCTCCTCTGGCACTCTGTCCAGGGGATGTCTAACTACTACAGGTCTTCTTAGGCCAGCCTGCTCCTCTGGCACTCTGTCCAGGGGATGTCTAACTACTACAGGTCTTCTTAGGCCCCCTGCTCCTCTGGCACTCTGTCCAGGGGATGTCTAACTACTACAGGTCTTCTTAGGCCAGCCTGCTCCTCTGGCACTCTGTCCAGGGGATGTCTAACTACTACAGGTCTTCTTAGGCCAGGCTGCTCCTCTGGCACTCTGTCCAGGGGATGTCTAACTACTACAGGTCTTCCTAGGCCAGCCTGCTCCTTTGGCACTCTGTCCAGGGGATGTCTAACTACTGCAGGTCTTCCTAGGCCAGCCTGCTCCTCTGGCACTCTGTCCAGGGGATGTCTAACTACTACAGGTCTTCCTAGGCCAGCCTGCTCCTCTGGCACTCTGTCCAGGGGATGTCTAACTACTACAGTTCTTCTAGGCCAGCCTGACCCTCTGGCACTCTGTCCAGGGGATGTCTTGCTCCCTTTCCCCGTGCATTTGAGACCATCAGTACCCGTGTCACCAAATGAGTTACGTATGCTAGGCAGTTAAACTTCCCACCACATCACAGTGACATTCAGCTTCGTTATAAACAAGTCTGCTAAAATCACAGAGGAATTTGGTGTGCAAGCATTGGCACTGGTGGTGAATGCCAGATATGGTGTGCAAGCATTGCCACTGGGTGGGAGTTGTGTGTGCTCACTATTTTCTGGATTCCAGGTTGGTTGGGAAGAAAATCAGTCACCCTATCTCAGTTCACATGCTTGGACCAAATCTGGTTCCCACGGTGTGTCGTTATATTACAGAGCCAAGGCCTCCCTCAAGGGTCCTCAGAAGAGCAGCCGTCCTTCTTGGGTTCTAAGGGATGTGTCTTCTGCCCTTGGAGTAAGGCAGGTCAGAGTGTGTGCCTATTGTGAGCCTCCAGAGAGTACAGTAGAAGACCATGAGACTGTCCCTTAAGCCCTGGCAGCTGGGGCAGAGGGCACTGCCCATAACTACTTGGCTTCAGTATTCATTAAATAACCATAAGGCCCTGCTGGGGCAGTACAGTGCCCATCCCCCGGTTGGCTCCTGGCATTATCTATCATCATTCATAGACTTGGCCTGAGTCTCTGTTGTAATGAGGAGCGGCGGGCTGTTTGTCGTCCCGCCTGGCTCCCGCCGCCTGGCTAGCTTAGCCCCAGAAATAATTACACAGAAACTGTATTCATTTAAACACTGCCTGGCCCATTGTCTCCAGCCCCTTATTGGCTAACTCTTACATGTTAGTTTAACCCATCTCCATTAATGTGTATCACCAATTGACTGTGGCTTACCAGCATGAGTCTAACCAGCGTCCGTCTCGAAGAGGAGAGCCATGGCGTCTGTCACACTTCCCTTCTTCCAGCATTCTGTTCTGTCTACTCTGCCCACCTAAGGGCTGCCCTATCAAAAGGCCAAGGCAGTATCTTTATTCAACCAATGAAAGCAACACACAAACAGAAGAACCTCCTACACCAATCCTCCACTTTACTTTTCCAACCTTTGTTCCCCTCCTGGAAGATATCTGTTTGCTATAATTAATACATCTTTCCCTCTGAATGCTTCGCCTCATCAAGAGTAAGTCCAGGCTGAGCTTGGTGGCACATATTTGTAAATCTCAGCACCCAGGAGGCTGAGGCAAGAGAATCTAGAATTTGAGATCAACCTGAGCTGCACTGTAACAATCTTTGTGAATTCGAGGCCAGCCTACCTGGCACAGTGAAACCCTGTCTCAAAAACAAACACAGAAAATAACAACAAACTAGAGGCGCCTCATCAGTTAAGAGCACCTCCAGAGATCTTAGGTTCAGTTCCCAAGATGTCCATCTGATGTGATGTATTTATTTATTTATTTATTTATTATGTATGCAATATTCTGTCTGTGTGTATGCCTGCAGGCCAGCAGAGGACACCAGACCCCATTACAGATGGTTGTGAGCCATCATGTGGTTGCTGGGAATTGAACTCAGGACCTTTGTAAGAGCAGACAATGCTCTTAACCTCTGAACCATCTCTCCAGCCCCCTGATGTGATGTTATTTGGTCAGCTGGTGACCTCTGGGGACTGCATCCTTTCCCACACCTGGGCATGTGCATAAGAGTGCAGTATCCTTAGGAGCCAGAAGAGGGCCTGGTGGTGGTTGACGGCGCACGACTTTAATCCCAGCACTCGGGAGGCAGAGGCAGAGGCAGGCAGATACCTGATCTCCGTGAGTTCGAGGCCAGCCTGGTCTACAAGAGCTAGTTCCAGGACAGGCTTCAAAGCTACAGAGAAACCCTGTCTTGAAAAACAAAACAAAACAAAAAAAAAAAAGAAAGAAAGAAAGAAAGAAAAGAAGAAGAAGAAGCCAGAAGAGGGCATCAGGTCCCCTGGGTTACCAGAGGTTGTGAGCTACCTGCATCACCAGAATGTGCTCTAACTGCCGATCCACGTCTCTAGCCTGTCCTTCCCTCCCTCCCGAGTGTCACTGTAACCCAGGCTGGCCTCAAACTGTCATCAGTCCACCGGCCTCAGTCCTGGGAATGCAAGTGTAAGCCCCCACGAAGAGTCACAAGAAACATACTCCAGTGTTCTACACTGGTACAGTACTTCTTATCCCAAGACAGCACTTTATGGAGTTTTGAACATTTTCACTTACATTCAAGTTGGCATAGCTGCTTTCATGACCCCCTTTAAGATCGACAGTGATTTCTGGAAAGTGATTTAATAGTTCAGTTTGTCACTGGCCATCTGCCAGCAATTTGCTATGCCCTATAAATCTTTTTTAAAAATGTATTTATCATGTATATAGTGTTCTTCCTGCACACCAGAAGATGGCACCAGATCTCATTACAGATGGTTGTGAGCCACTATTTGGATGCTGGGAATTGAACTCAGGACCTCTGGAAGAGTTGCCAGTGCTCTTAAATTCTGAGCCATCTCTCCAGCCCTAATAAAGACTTTCTAAAAGAAAATTTGTGTGTGTGCGGAGGGAGGTGTGTGTGTGTGTGTGTGTGTGTGTGTGTACATGTGTGTGTATACCCCTCTGTCTACTTACTCCTCTTTTTTTTCACAGGGTTTCTCTGTGTAGCCCTGGCTGTCCTGGAATTCTCTGTAGGTCAGGCTGGCCTCGAATTCAGAGATCTGCCTGCATCTACCTCCTGGGTTCTGGGATTAAAAGCATATGCCACCACACTCATCTTGGGAAAGATTTATTAAGGCCTTTCCATAGCCAGGCCTAGAGACACATGGCTTTAATCAGGAGGCAGAGGCAGGCAGATCACTGAGTTGGTGGCTAGCCTGGTTACATGTCAAATTCTAAGACAGCCAGGGCCACATGAAGAAGACGTTGTCTGTCCCATACCCCAGACCCGTCTACTGACCATGCAACTGTCTCTGCAGCCAGATTTACTGCCATGGGGAACTCCTGCACCAAGTTCAGATGGCTAAACTCTACCTAGATGACAAGCAGTTTGTGGATATGTCACTCACCGCATCTCCAGGTAAAACTACCTTGCCTTCTCCTGAACCTTCTACCTCAAGGAGGCAGATGTGGGAGCAGCATAGGCTCCCCCGATCAGGGGGTGTCTCAGGGTACTCCACTGACCCCTTGGTGTCATCTGCTCTCCAGATGAAGTGCTGAAGAGTTTCAGACAGCTGGCCATGACACACAACAACAGCATCCCCAGGGAAGAGCTTCAGAAGTTTGTCCAGACTTACTTCCAGCCTGTGGGGCAGGAGCTGCAGTCCTGGATCCCAGAGGACTGGAAAGAGAGGTGCCCCTCTGGAGAGAAGACAGGTCAGGGTCCCTCTCTTGGGGCTGCCTCCCTGAACACTGTGGCTCATCTCTTCTAGGCCTCAGTTCCTGCAGAAGATCTCCGATGCCAAGCTGCGTGACTGGGCGGGGCAACTGCACCAGATCTGGAAGAATCTGGGAAAGAAGGTAGCAGTGGCCTAGGCCTGCAACATGTCCTGGGCCTGTTTCATGGTCTGACTGACTGCTCCGGGGGTAGGACAGAGCCACACCACAGTCCTGATCCCTAAACAGAAGCCTTCTAGAAAGCATGGAGGGAACATCTGCTTTAACCCCTCACTTCCTCTAGGGAACCACCCATGCAAACCAAGCTAGGGGCACCCAGTGCTGCCCTTGTCCCACAGCTGTTCAATCCTAAAGAAACACACAGAGGCTTATATTAATTATAAACTGTTTGGCCTATTAGCTCAGGCTTATTATTAACTAGCTCTTTTGTTGTTGTTGTTGCTGTTTTCAAGACAGGCTTCTGTGTGTAACAGTCCTAGCTGTCCTGGAACTACCTCTTGTAGACTAGGTTGGCCTCGAACTCAGGGAGATCCACCTGCCTCTGCCTCCTGAGTATTGGGGTTAAAGGCCTGCGCCACCATCACCTGGCTTAACTAGCTCTTATAACTTAAATTAACCCATGCCAGTCCTCACTGCTCCTGGTCTTCTCAACTGTGCTTGGGGGAAAGAGCATGGGTTTCATCATTCTGGAAGGGGGACTGGGAGAGAGTGTTTCACTTCTTTGACTTCAGGTGGCAGCAGGGGTATTGGGGAGATTAAGGGAGATCTCTACTAGCATTGCCTCATCCACTTAGCTTCATCCGGGTCACAACAATGGATGCTGTCAGTGGTTGCCTGCCTGATGCCATGCTGAGTGGCTTGAGCTTCAGCATACCATTAAGTTGAGCCAGGACCCCAGAGGCTGGCAGGTGGGGAGTGAGGACACTAGGACTCTCAGAAGCTGGCCTGGATTATACAGCAAAGTAGAAGAAACAACAGAACCAGCCTCCCCAGCCAGGCTGCCAGGTCCTCTGCCCTCACTCCCTGCAGCCACCACTGGCTAATGCTAGGCTCCCCTGTGCCCTCTTTCTTGACTCCAGATGAAACCAGAGATTTTCAAAAACCCCGAGAGGTCCTCCCTGATCTACTCAGAACACCCCTTCATCGTGCCTGGAGGACGTTTTGTTGAGTTCTACTACTGGTGTGTGTCCATGTCTGGGAGGCCGGGGGCTCATAGAGGCTGGAAGTTGTGGTGGGGAACCCAGGGCCAGCACCCTCCAACATGGGTGTGCAGGGCAGAGGGTGAAGGCTGGATGATGTGTGCCTCCTCCTTCTGCCAGGGACTCCTACTGGGTGATGGAAGGTCTGCTTCTCTCTGAGATGACCTCAACAGTGAAGGGCATGCTGCAGAACTTTCTGGATCTGGTGAAGACGTAAGGAAGGGCTGTAGGCAGGGAGCTGGGCTTGCCTTGGTGCTGGGTCAGGAAGCATCTAAGCAGACCCCCTCTTGGCAGCTACGGACACATCCCCAATGGCGGACGTGTGTATTACCTGCAACGGAGCCAGCCCCCACTCCTGACTCTCATGATGGATCTGTATGTGAATTACACCAAGGACATCAGCTTCCTGCAGTGGGTACCCTGCCCATTCTGGCCTGCAGGCATATCCTATGCTGGAGACTCCCTAGGACCAAGGGCATTAGCTATGTACGTGGTCTGAGGTGTTGCTTACCCCACCCCAGGGAGAACATTGGAACCCTAGCCTCGGAACTGGACTTCTGGACCGTGAACAGAAGTTTGTCTGTGAGCTCAGGAGGAAAAAGCTATATCTTGAACCGTTACTATGTCCCTTATGGGGGACCCAGGTAAGAAACTGACCTGCCATCAGTCCCTTGTCTGCTCACTCACATGTGAGCATCTCATGCTGTGCGTGTGTCAGGGAGATGGGGGCGGGGGGGTTGAATCAAGATGACCGAGCCTTCTGGTTGACAGAGTGGCTTAGTACCTGTTGATGTCATGCTGTTGCTCTTTGCTAGGCCAGAGTCCTACAGCAAGGATGAAGAATTGGCAAACACTGTGCAGGAAGGTAAACAGGAACAGGAGGAGGAAGGACCCATGGGATGGCTCTGAGCCTCTGCATATTTCCAGCTTCCATCTGTGGCTGCTTAACCCCTCCAGTCAGTGCTGACTTGGGGTTGCTATTCTGTCCTTACAGGGGACCGAGAGACTCTGTGGTCTGAGCTCAAGGCTGGAGCTGAGTCTGGCTGGGACTTCTCTTCACGCTGGCTTGTCGGAGGCACAAACCCTGATTTACTTAGCAGCATCCGAACCAGCAAAATGATACCTGTTGACCTGAATGCATTCCTGTGCCAAGCAGAGGAGCTGATGAGTAACTTCTACTCCAGGCTAGGTGAGCACCCCGTGAGGGGAGACTGTCCAGTGTGAGGCTCCCACATCAACCTTGGCCACGGGACTGAAGGCAGGGCTCCCCAGCCAGTTCAAGCCTTCACCTTGATAGAGAGGCATCGAGGGAAGAGAATGACTCAGGAGCCTGCCCTTAGCTTCACACGGCTGTCCCTTTTGTTCTATGAGGACCTCTAGGGTCTGGAAGAGGACACTCCAGTGCATCAGATCTGTCTCCATTCCCCAAAGTGTCCCTTAGCTCCCTCAGAGCAAGAGTCATCAGCATGATGAGCCTGGGAGACAGACCAGCATGTCCCTGGGAGCTGGGCAAGAACCACTAGTACAAAGAGCCATGAATTCTAGCGGGCGCTGGGGAATCACAATCCTTGTCGTCAGGATTCTTAGCCTGTGTGGACACCACATACGGAAAAGGGCAAAGTAAAGACATCTAAAGCCAGGACCCAAGGGCAGAGCCCAGTGTCCTGCTGGTCAGACTAAAAGGCAATGCCACACAGGGAATGACGCCGAGGCCGCAAAGTACAGAAACTTGCGGTCCCAGCGCTTGGCCGCCATGGAGGCCGTCCTGTGGGACGAGCAGAAGGGAGCCTGGTTCGACTATGACTGGGAAAAAGAGAAGAAGAACCTGGAGTTTTATCCCTCCAACCTCACCCCGCTCTGGACTGGCTGCTTCTCAAACCCTAGCGTCATTGACAAGGCTCTGAAATACTTGGAGGTGAGGGACAGTGAGCGGGGCCTGGCATCCAGGAGGCAGGCCCCTCCCTTCCCTGTTGGCAGTGCCTGTCTTAGCCTGCAAGTCTCGCTGAGGCCACTGGGAGCAGCCGTGAGGCAGGAAGAGAAGGGGCAGGAGGGGCAGATCTGCCTTCCCTGAGGGCCCTGCGTGCTTGGCTCTGGCTTCAGTCACCGCCCACAGTCACAGCAATTCTGGAATCTTCTAGGACAACAATATCTTGACCTACCAGTATGGGATCCCGACCTCTCTTCACAACACAGGCCAGCAATGGGACTTCCCCAATGCCTGGGCGCCCCTGCAGGACTTAGTCATCAGAGGTAGGAAAGCAAGCAGCTGATAGGCCCAGCCCGCCTCTCCTTCCCTCCAATCCCAGGCCCTGGATTAAGAACATGTGGGCCCACAGGTCCAGAAATCTGAGGGCCCGCACACCCTTCCTGCCTGGGGAGAGAGAGGCCTGGGCTTCTGTTCTGCCCAGGATGGAGGTCTCTTGAGTATTCAGGCCTTATCTGGGTTGGGTCTTAGGTTTGGCCAAGTCAGCGTCCCCCCGGACTCAGGAGGTGGCTTTCCAGTTGGCCCAGAACTGGATCAGAACCAACTTCAAAGTCTACTCCCAAAAGTCAGCAATGTATGAGAAGGTGAGCAGCAGGCTGGGGTGTGCCGGTCTCACCAGGGTCTGGTTCATGGTTGAAGTATGTCCAGCATTGCCAGTGCCTAGACAGCATAGCCTGTACAGTGTGACCCCCAGTGGCCATTCTTGGGCACTGCAGGGGCCTGAGCAGCAGCCTGGTGCATATTTCTCTGTTCCATGGCTGTTGCCCCTCTAGCTAGGGTGGTTGGTTTAGCAGTACCCACCTATAACTCATGCTTTTGTCCCTAGTATGACATCACCAATGGTGGACAGCCAGGTGGAGGAGGGGAGTATGAAGTTCAGGTGAGCAAGCTGGTCAACACCGTTATAGGCAACTCCTGGGATCTGGGGTCCCCAGAATATGTACGTCCCCTTAGGTCTGAGACGCCCAGTACTGGGCCTCTGAGGAAAGATTTTGAATGATAATCATTGGTGCCTCTGTGGCCAGAATCACTGGGAAGAGGGCATCCCCAAATCAGGACGTGGGAGTCTAGTGATCTGGCCTCTTTCCAGGAAGGATTTGGTTGGACCAACGGACTGGCACTGACGCTTTTGGACCGCTATGGTGACCAGCTGACCTCAGGAACCCAGCTAGCTTCCCTAGGAACCCAGCTAGCTTCCCTAGGACCCCACTGCCTCCTGGCGGCCCTTCTCATCAGCTTTCTGCTACAGTGACAAGGAGAAGAATGGCCTCACTATGTGCATTTCCTCCTCTGGCTCCACTCCCACCCCCCAGCTGTCCCGTTCAGTGCATCGGGGCCAGAAGTGATCAGGAGGTCAAGATCAGGGACTGGATTCCTACCTGTAACCTTCACTAAGGTGGAAAGCCCTACTCTTGGGAAAACCGAGTCCAAACGCCTGAAGCAGCCCACTGGGAACCACATACAACCTGGGCTTCCACACACACGTACTTGTCAAAATGCTTTTATTATTGTTCTGCTGAAACGTTTACAAATACTGCAAAACACCCAGCCAGGCCCAGAGACCAAGGGTCCGGTGCTGGGAAGGGGAGGGAGGTGGCTTAGTGTTAAGGCGTAAAGGCTGAAGCCAGCCAGCTGGAGACTTGATCCCCCACTCTTTTCCCATGGCCCCTGGGAAACTGAAGGGAGGGTACCACAGCTCAGGGCCTTGCTTCTGCCCTCCACACCCACAGCTCAGGACTCTTTCTGGGCACCCTGAGCTACCCTCCTTCCTTATTGGGAACTGGTCCTGTCAGAACAGGAGGACAGAATCTTAGCTTCCTCTCCCCTCAGTGCTGCTGTTCCCTTGGTCTCGGATCCCCGAACACCGTCCCTTCTGGCTCTAAGCAAGGCACAGCGGAAGGGAGAGGCTGGACTGGGGGCTGGAGACATACTGCAGCAGGGAGGTGGCATTTCCTCCTGCCAGGTGACACACCCCCCAGGCCTGGGTTGGAGAGATGATGGCACGTACCTTCATGTGGCCCACAGCTGAAGCAGTGGGCTGAGCCACAGAGTGGCCATGGCAATTAGTGTATAACCGTGGTGATGAAGCAGTCACCATGGAGACCATGGTGATGGGGTTGGACCTCAAGGATGACACCTGAGGTCTCTGGTCCTTGAGCAGAGTAGTGAGAAGTACGGAGGTGGGAGGATGAGGGGTGGCATGGGGTTGGGAAGCACTGGCCTGAGCTGTTCCCCAACTCTACACACGGCTCTGCCCAGTACCCCCCAGGCCCCTGCACGGGGTGAGATGAGAAGGGAATCTTTGGCAGATTCTGGTACCATAATTTGTCCTTTATACAGAGAAAACAAGCTGAGGTGAGCAGGTGCCAGGTTAGAGTTGAGAGCCCAGCTCTGCGACAGCTCTCTAGGCCTGCCAGACCCAAGAAGGACCCCCTAACTTCTGGGCTCCCAAGAGGCAACAAAGCCTCTCCCTCTCTTCTCTGCTGGCCTTTTAGGGACCCAGGCCCAGCCCTCAAGCACTAAATCCCTCACAGAACAATTTGTCTTCTTGCACAAAAGGCCTGGGGTTCTCTGCCACATCCTGACCCTGTGTGGCCCGGTGCCCAGTGTGCTGTTGTCTTCAGGGACAAGCCAAGCAGCAAGTGGCAGGGCATGGGTCCTGGGGCTGACCTGGGAACCCAGGAGTGCACGGTAGTTAGTTCATGAACTGGGTGTAGCCCTCAGCTCCTGTGACGATGACATCCATCCAGATGCGCATGGCCTCTGCAGATGGGGCCACCATGTAGTACAGCCGGTCATGGGTCTTCACGCAGAAGGTGAGGGCTGGGTTCGGACTCTGCCAAGGCAAGACAGGAAGTGCTAAGGTGAAACTCCATGCCCAGAGTATTCTGTTCACCTGTCTCTTGTTTGCCGTTCTCACTGAAGTCTCAGGAAGCCCTGAATTTAAGGTTGTCCTGGGGGGTGGGGGGGAGGTTCAAGACAGTCCTGGAACTCACTCTGTAGACCAGGCTAGCCTCCAACTCACAGAAATCCATCTGTCTCTTGCCTCCCAAGTGCCAGGATTAAAGGTGTGTGCCACCACCACCTGGCCTAAGGCTGAGTCTTAACCAGCCCAAACCCCAGGGGTCTACAAGTTTTCTTTCTAACACGTGGAAGTATTAGGCTCTCTAAACCCTTGCAACAGGGGCATGCCTCAGTTCCAAAATTAATACAAGAGAATCTGTCATAGGAGTTGTCCCAGTGAGAAGCAGATTCTCCTCTAAGCCAAAAGGAGGCAGGAAAAGACTGTAAGTAAGAGGCTGGACCAGACCCTAGAGGAGCAGAAGTCAGGGTTAGGTGGGGCCTGAGGGCTGGCAAGAAATAGGGCAATGTTTCTTGTCTGGCTCAGCCACCGACAGCTCCTTTTATCGACTCCCCGTCTCCAGCCTAGTGCCTGTGCTTCCCCCACTGGCCCCTTCATCTCCCCCGTCAACTGTCCACCTCAGGGCTGCACTGACTGTCAAGGCCAGAGAGAAAGGCAGTAAGTGGGCTTCAAGCCTCAGGAGCCCCTTGCTCCCTCCTCTCTGGCCTGGCATAAATTAGAGGGATGGGGGAGGCGGTCAGGGGTCAGGGGCCATGGGACACAGGAGCTGTTAATATGAGCAGTTCTAGTTAAGAGTAGGGGTACCTCAGTCACCATGGTGAAGTGGAAGAACCTTTTCTGGGAGGGGGAGAGGAAGAAAGGAAGAGAAAACCGGTGAAGACAGTGAGGGCGAAGCAGAGCCTAAAGACGGGCTCAAGGCCTTCGTGCCCAGAACACCACAGCAACACCCTTCCTGGGGGCTATCCCACGCTGGTCCCCGCTGCCTCACCTTGGCTGCACTGCGCAGGTGGTCATAGTACACCTCCTCGATGGCCTGGAAGTAAATGACCCCCTTCAGCTTCGTTTCGTGCTTGTCTGCAAAGGACAAAAAATGGACTGAGCGGGACAGACATAGGGTGCCCCGAGTCTGAGCTCATTTCCTCATCTGGGGAACGGGGGAAGGGTTGGAGAGATGGCTTACTGGTTAAGAGCACTGACTGCTCTTCCATGGGACCTGGGTTCAGTTCCCAGCACCCACATGGCAGCTCACAACTGTCTGTAATTCCAGTTCCAGGGAACCTGACACCCAAGACAAAATACCAATGCACATAAAATATTCATTTTAAAAATAAGCCAGGCATAATATAAACCAGAACTCTGCTGAGGTGCGATTTACCAGAAGACAAGATGAGACCGCTGACAAGAAATGTCAGGAAAAGGACAGGCGGGAACAAAACTGGTGAGGCTTTTATGGATGATGTGATGTGACCACGTCAGTCCAAAGTAGTGCGCTTGGGACCCTAGCAATTTGCTGAGGCTGAGGTAGTTTCAGGCCTGTCTAAAATAATAATCTCTACAATGCCGGGCGGTGTAGCACAGGACTTTAATTCCAGCACCCAGGAGGCAGAGGCAGGCGGATCTCTGAGTTTGAAACCAGCCTGGGCTACAGAGTGAGTTCCAGGAGAGTCAGGTCTACACAGAGAAACCCTGTCTGAAAAAACAAACAACAACAACAACAACAAAAAACCTCTAAAATAATAATTACATTTTAACTTAAACACAAATAATAAACTAGAAAGAGTTTCATCTTAGCACTCAGGAGGAGGCAGAGGCAGAAGTGGGCTGAACTCTGGGAGTTTGAGGTCAGTCTGGTCTAAATACTAAGTTCCAGGCCAAACAGAGCTATGTAGTGAGACCCTGTGACAAGAACCAAATAACAAAACATAATTTATCTGACTTAATATAAAATAACAGATTTACAACAGTGTAATACTGTGTGGCCCTGGCTGTCCTGGAACTCATTCTGTAGACCAGGCTGGCCTCAAACTCACAGAGATCCTCCTGCCTTTGTAGTGCTGGAATCCAAGAGTGTACAGCTGCTGTTGGATATGATGGTACAGCATGTTTGTGTGTGCTGCGTAGGCACCCGTGCAAGGATGTGCATGCCCGTGTGCATATACTCAAGAGGCAGAGAAGGATGTCACTTTCTACCATATTCCCTTGAGACAGGGTCTCTCACTGGACCTGGGGCTGGGCTGGCAGCCAGAAAACCCCAGCAGTCCTCCGTCTCCATCTGTCACAGTGCTGGGGTAACAGGGGTGCATGGGGCACACAGAGGACTGGATCTGCACCCAGGTCCTCATGTGTGGGCAGTAAGTGCTCCACCCACTAAGCCATCTCTCCAGCCCCAAGGAACATGGGATATCTATAAAACACACCAAGTGTTAAGTACAAAGTGGTAGATGTATTTGAAACAGACTGCTAAGATACCTTAAGGCAAACAGAACAATGTATTCGCTGCTACCATTTGGATATGAAAAGGGAGTAAGAATCCTGTTTGCTGGAATGTGTGCATACCTAAAATCCTAACGTTTGAGAAACACGGGGAAGGGTGTAAGACCAGTTCTGACTACATAGTGAGCTTGAGGCTAACCTGGGCTACATGAGATGGTGTCTTACTTATAAAAAGCAACAAAAACCACTCATCAGATGGTACTACTGACACCTTCAGCCACCAGCTTGAGTCCTGCAGGAGATGACAATGCTAATCACTAAACTCAGAGGTGACAGCTACTAGAAGCTCCTCCCCTGGGTCCCTTCCTACACTCCAGGTTATTTCAGGCCCAATCCCCTGCTCTAGCCTCCTAAGGTCCTGCCCCAACCTCCAGTCCTGCTATTCATCTGCCCCAATGTTGGGGGATGAGCTTTGAAAGCCAGTCTGCTACGTCATTGCACAGCCGTCTCCCACGGTTCCTCCTGGGGAGCCAGCTAGTCTTGGCATAGACTTGGGTGTCAATGCCCCCTCCAGCTTGTCTCACAGCATCCTCCACATTAAGCCCCATGGAGTTGGTCACGTTCTCACTGCCCCCTTAGCGGCCCCACTCTCCACACTCTAGACCATCTCTTCCCCTCCACATTCTTGGCAAACTCCTAACCAAGCTTCAAGACCCACTGCAGACCGCTACAACACACAATCGCGAATCCTCCAACAGCAATAGCTCCGTGCCAGGCACACAACAGGTGCTCAATTACTGAATGAAGGATGACGGAGTCCTAGGTACTGGCATCTAAAAAAGAAAACACAAACCCTTCTGCCAGGAAGCTACAGCCCCGTGAGAAGATGCAGGCACACAGCCTAGTGACTTGCCAGTGTGGCTACGAGCTTGGGAAAACCCTGCACATCTGAGGGTGTCACAGAGTGTGAAAGGCGAGAGCACAGAGCGTCCAGCGGAGTCTGGCACAGTGAACGGCATCTGTCACTACAGCATTCCGCTTGCGGCTGATGTCACCCAGCAGACAGGGATGACTGCCGGAGTGCTGAGGAGGGTGGGAACCACCCCAGGGATGGTGGAGCGGCTGAGGGGTTTACCCAGGTTAGGCTCTGTTGGGATTTCCTGTAAGAAGGAAGAGGATGCAGGCCCAAAGGGCAAGCCACACCTAGGTCCTGGTGTAGCCCACACCCGTCTCAACATTTCCTCCTCTGACCTGAGAAACCTGGCGGCCCTCCAGCCGCCCCCCTCCTTCTTCTTTCACTGGAAACAGTCACAGCTCCTGCCCACACTTCCGCCCCGCCCACCTATCCTTGGTCTTGTGCAATCTGTGGTGGAACGCCTTCTCTCCACAAATCTGTGTCTCAGAGTCAAACGGCCTCTGGGCCACATCATTCTAGGCCTTCTGGCAATTATCTATCATTGCAGCGGCACCTTGGGCTTAAAATGTCTGTTCTCCTGGCCGGCTTCCTTCTCTGTTTCTGTTGTCCGCCTAAATGTGGTCTCCTTTTGTTTCACAGACATGAAGCGAGATCGTATTTGCCAAGTGCCAGCCCAGCACCTGGCATGCAGTCAGAGCCAGCTCCCTGCTTCCTGCCCCTTCTGCCTCTGCTGGTTTCCTCCTGCCTCGTCCCCACAAGTGGCTGTCTCTCCCCTCTGCTCCGCCTTGTGGTTGCTGTGAGACCTTCGACAATTAGCGTTTCTGAGCCCCATTTTTCTTTCTTTTTTTTTTCTTTTTGGTGCCCCGTCGGGGAATCGAAGAGTCCCATTTTTCTTACACACAAAGTAGGTGTCAATGTAGGGCTTCTTGGCAAAAATGAGACACATTGATGCATACAGAGTCCTGATCACACATGTGTTGGATTAGCAGGACTTGCATCTGCTATGACATTCGACGAGGCTTCCCTTGCAGCCTAGCCTCTCTTCTGGACCTAGCTCAATGCACCTCAGCCTCTCCATGTGTGAAGCGGAGCTCTGCTTCCCCAGGCTGACAAGGACCCTCTACTGTCCTAGCCTAGCTACACCTAGGCTTCTGGTCTCTCCACATCTAGGACTGAGGGTGATCAGGGAAGGCTTCCCAAGTGGGTAAAAGGTGAGAGGGAGCAGGCAAGGCATGGGGCCTGGGCATTCTTGACCCTGCAGCCCTCCCCTGTCCAGCTCTCTAGGTGGTGGGGCTGAGTGACTGGCAGGCAGGTGGAGCACAAGTTACTTCCCAGCTGAGGCACTTTGGGTCAATGCAAAGCCCCTCAAACCCCTCTCGTCTCTCTGCTATTATGACCAGCAATGTTCCAGAAAGGTTCACTGTGTAGCAAAGACAAGCAGCCCACAAGGCACAGCAAATTCATGTCATGCACAGGAAGGGACCCGGAGGACCACTGATCACAGCACAGTCTAGCCCTTGCTGACTTCGGACCACACGGCACCTCATGCTCAAAACAGCAAAGTCCAAAGCTATTCCCGGGATAGGAGTCTATGCTAGAGACCGGGTGAGGGGGAGGAAGAGCAGAGTTGAATAAGGTCCCTGGTTCCTGGGATGTCCCCAGAGTCCTTGATGCTGTTTAACCGACTATCTCCAAGTCTCTGAGGGGGAACAAGGGGAAGTTCCCAGGCCAAATTTTGTACCCCGTGTCTGGGTGTTCCCTGTCAAGGAAACCCACACACCGTATTTAACTCTCTGCTTGGCCCCTGCCTTCCTGACAGTGTGCACCAAGGAAGAAAGCATAACCATCTTGTCACCAGAGCCTGAAATAGGGACTGGAGTTTACCAGATTCCCCACAACACCGCAGAGCGAGGACTACGTGGAAGAATGAAGGAATGTGAACCAGGTACACTCCGTACATTTTCAGAGGAGAGCCCTCTACCTGAAAGCCTGGCTTCCTTCTAGCAGACCGGCCAACCCAGCTGTTGCAGCCCAGCAGTCCCAGCCCTGACTGGCCCAAGGGCAGTCTGTGGGAACTCACCCACATAATAGGAAAGGGTGCGCTTGAGCCGATCAAAGACAAACCAGCGCTTCTTCCATGATTTAATCTTGCCGCCCATCTTGATCAAGTAGCCACGACAGACCTGGTGGAGAGTAACACTGAAGAACTATACACGTGTGGAGCCTGAGCCTTTCTTCCCAAGCGGCTCCTTTAGCAGAGACCATAGCCTCTGTCTGCATGGGCAGAGGTCGTCCCCAGCGTCTCAGGCTAGCACACAGGGACTGGGACAGTCCTGACTATGCCGGGACAGCCTGAAAGCAAAATTCCAAGGTCTCCCTCCCACAGCCTGAGCCACACAGGCTGGTACCTTGCTGCTAAGCACCACATGTAGGCAGGTGTCCACCCCATGGCCTGATGACTCTATGTGCGTCTTCAAGTCAAAGTCCTCCTTCCGGTTGGGCAGATAGCGTGTGAGAGGCCGTGCCTGGGGACAGAGGGCAGGGATGGCAGAGTTATTCCTCTTTTCTCGTTGTTCCCTCATTCTCGTTGCTCGGTTTTAGCCCTGGAACTCCCACATCTTAGCGTCACCCCCTCTCAACTCCTGTGGCTGTCACTGGCTTCACAGGACTTGGGACCAGCGTGGAGACCTGGCATACCTGTGCTGACTCAACCTAGGCCTGGGCAAAATGCTGACCAGCCAGTTCCTTGCCTTGGTTCTCCCACCTATGACACTGACAGCCATTGCTGTCTTCTTGCCCCTCCTCTCCCTGTGGACAGAATGACAAGAGGCCAGATGTGAATGTGTCCTGGGGAAAACAAGTCCTGGGGGAGATCTGTGCTCCAGGGCTGGGTTGCAGGTCAGAGAGGAGCACCTCCCTAGCACTCTCAAGGACCTGGGTTCCATCCCCACCATCAGAAGACAAACAGAGATGGTTCAGTGGGTGAAGGAGCCTGCTGCCAAGCCTGATGACCTGATTACTGGGACCCACATAGTAGAAGGAGAGAAACTCACAGTTGTCCTTTGACCTTTGTACATACATCTCCCCCTCCACACATACATAAACACATAATATAATTAAAAGACAGAGGAACCTCTCTCTAAAAAGAAAGAAAAATGAGTAAAATAATCTGCTTAGTGATTTGTTTGCATTATATTCTTCTAGTGTCCGAATATTTAACATAGAGACTCTAGACAATCACTACGGTCTACTTCATCTCTGTTTACTAGTAAGAATTCTCCATTAACTGGGATATTTTTCTACTCTTGCTTTTCCAGAAAAACCTTAAAATGTTGCCGGGTGGCGAGACAAAGGCAGACAGATCTCTGTGAGTTCAATGCCAGCCTGACCTGCAGAGCAAGTTCCACAATACTCAGGGCTACACAAAGTAACCCTGTCTCAAAAACAAACAAAATCAAGTAAGGGAAATGTCACAAATGACATAAAATATACAACTTGCAAGAGATGCAAAGATGGCTTCCTCTCCTACCAGGCCCTAGCCTCAGAGACAGAGGCTGAAGGACAGGGTCTGAGAGGTGTCAGGGCGGGGACAGGAAAGGGAACAAGGTCTCTGACAAAGATTAGACCATGGTGGAAAAACTCCAGAGTTTCTGATTTTTTTAACTTATTTTATGTGTGTTAGTGTATCTGCTGCAGACATGTGTACCACACAGGAGCGTGCTCAGAGGCCAGAGAGGGCACCAGGACCCTCTGGGAGAAGAATTACAGCTGTGTGAGCCACTGTGTGGTTGCTGGGAACCAAAACCTGTTTTCTCTGCAAAAGCAGTAAATGCTCTTAACAACCGAGCCATTTCTCCAGCCCCACTGGTGGTTTCTTTTTTTTCTAATTGTGTGGTTTTTTTTTTTTAATATTTATTTATTATGTATACAATTTTCTGTCTGTGTGTATGCCTGCAGGCCAGAAGAGGGCACCAGACCCCATTACAGAGGGTCGTGAGCCACCATGTGGTTGCTGGGAATTGAACTCAGGACTTTTGGAAGAGCAGGCAATGCTCTTAACCTCTGAGTCATCTCTCCAGCCCCGTGGGTTTTTTCTTTTATATTGTTGTTGTTGTTGTTTTTAATTGTTGCTGTTTTGTTTGTTTTGTTGATTGGTTGGTTTTTCCGAGACTGGGCTTCTAAGTGTATCCCTGGCTGTCCTAAAACTAACTCTGTAGACCATGCTGCCCTCAAACTCACAGAGATCCTCCGGCCTCTGCCTCCAGAGTGCTGGGATTAAAGGTGTGCGCCATCATCACCCTGCATAGCTTCTGGAGGTTTCTTAATTATCAAAGCCCAGTACGAGTCCTACCCCCTAGATTTTATGTTGCCACATCTCAGAAAACAAGGGAGCTGTGGTTGTTGGTCCCTCTACAGGGAGGTCCCAGAGGACCCTAGCTTGGGGTAGACTATGGAGACTCAGTCAGGAGCCGCCTGGCTGAGTTCTATAGCACTCACGGGGTGAGGGACCAGGCACACACATAGATGCCCTTGCTCAGCCCCTTTTTTCCTCCCCCTGCTCATCTCTCCTGGGGAACGTCTAGTTTTGAGCAATGAGAGATTTTTGCCTGAGGAGAAGTTATACACTAACCATTAGAGTTTGGTTGTCCACAAGTGACAGAGACTGGAGCCCAAAGGCCCTATGAGAAGAAGAGGGCTGGTACACAAGGAGTACCATGCAAGATTGGCAGTTGGTAGAAGGGATAGATAGCATAGACTACCAAAACTGAACAGGGCCCTACAGAAGCCAAGGCGGCTGTCCTGGTTCATACCAATCCTGTAACTCTGGAGGTGTACCCAGAATCCCACGTCTTTGTCTCTCTGCGTACCCAGAATCCCACGTCTTTGTCTCTCTGCATACCCAGAATCCCACGTCTTTGTCTCTCTGCGTACCCAGAATCCCATGTCTTTGTCTCTCTCTATAAATATGACTTTGTAGTGGTCGCTTAGGAGTGCCTTTCTTCAGACCCTCTGATTCCAGAGACACATAGGAGGGTGGATAGCTCCACACCCCACCCACCCCAACGCAAGCACCAACAAACCCTCATGCGTTTGCTGTAGCCGCCAATGAGTCCCAGGTGGATGCTGCCCACGTGAAGCCCACAGTAATCTTTTCTGGCTGTCGGGCTCCACTGCCCGGCACAAGGGGCCTGCTTCATAGCCAGGTCAAGCCGACCATTACCTGGGAAAACTGTTTCTCCCGCAGCTTTACTTCCTTCTCCACCAGCTGCTGCCTGCGGGCGCTCTCAGTCTGCAGCCTCCTTTCGGCTTGCTCCCGCCTCCGCCTTTCCTCCTCCAGGGCCTGCCTCCGTAGTTCCATCTCCCGCTCCTGCAGAAAGGAAAAGAGGGGTCAGTGCCCTCAGGCCTGCACAGAGTTACAGACCCTGGACACTGGTCTCACTAAGCAAGCACGTCATTAAAGACCACCCTCTCCTGGCTAAGGATTAACGCTTCAAACACTGGCTCTGGCAGCACGTTATGGGTTACACCCTACCAAATCCGTCACTCTCCACGCCTCAGCTACCTCATTAGGAAACTGGGCTTCAACAAATCTGCTTCTGGGAATGGGGTAAAAGTTCAAAGAAGTCAGATATGCCATCAGATTCCGGCACAAAAATAGCACTCAATAAAGTGAGTCTTGTATAACTTTCTTTTATGGAGACAGGGTCTCATGTTACTCTGGCTGGCCTAGAATTCTATGTAGACCAAGTTGGTCTCTAACTCAGAGATCCATCCGCCTCTACCTCCTAAGTGCTGAGATTAGAGGTGGATGCCATCACACCTGGTTCTAAACAAAATAAATATTTTTATTTACTTCTCCATGCGGCGTGTGCGTGCGTGTGCACTAGCACGTGCACGTCATGTATGTGCAGGTGTCCACAGAAGCTAGAAGAGGGTGTCATGTTCCTAGGAGCTGGAGTCATAGAAAACTGTGGCCCTCTGCTAGAGCAGCGAGTCCTCTTCACTGCTGAGCCAGCTCTCCAGCCCCAGGCTCTTACAATTTTACATGAATTCCTAGAGCATGTGCTAGTAAGCTTTTTCTTTTAATTATTTAATTTTATGTGCACTGGTGTGAGGGTATCAGATTCCCTGGAACTAAGTTAACAGGCAGGTGTGAGCCGCCATGTGGGTGCTGGGAATGTTTGAACCCGGGTCCTCTGGAAAGGTAGTCATCATCTCTAACTTTCCCTCTAAGAGAGGTTTATAAATTTGCCTAAATTTGATGTCAATAACATGGAGACATCTTTTTTAGCTGGTCTTCCATCCATATGGTCAGTTCTTCCTCTTTTTCCAGCCCCTGTGATTCCTCAGTCCTACTAAACAACATCTCTGCCCTGACTTAGGTACCCGCCTTTCTTTTTCTTTTTGATTCTCTACCTCAACCCCACTTTCTGCTTTTCCAAATTATTCCCAAGGAGAATGTCCCCCTACTTAGGTTCCCACAAGGTCCATAGGATGGGGCACGAGACTGAAGCTACCCTATAGGAAACACAGGGTTGGACAGAGTGACAACTGCCTGTGTTCCAGGGGTTGGGACGCTGTAGCCTGCCCAAGTCTCCCAGACCACACTTGAGAAATACAAACTTTTACTATAAAGTTAATGTGGGCAGAAGGGCTTGGGGTACAGCAGGTGGAAGGGCTTGGGGTACGGCAGGCGGAAGGCAGCTCCGTGCTCACCACCTGCTGCCTCCTGGCTCCAGTCAGCCTCACCCTGGACTCCATGAGCCGGCTCTTCTCTGCATGAGCTTCCTTTAGCATCTTCTCCATCTCCTCGATCTTGCCCATGTCTAAACCACTGGCACTAGGGAGGGAAGGGGAAGAGAGAGCTCGTCAAGTGAGCTCAAGGGTGCCAGGCACAAGCAGAAGGCTAGAGGGAGGAGGCACCTGGACATGTTGTCAGGGGAGCAGGCTGAGTTGCCCCCTGTAGAGATGCTGGTCTCCATGCTGTCTGAGCTCTCCAGGCTCAGTGTGTCATAAGCATGTTCACCCTCCTCGCCACGCTCCCTGCCAGCTGGCAGGTGGTGCAGGATAGAATGGTGCATGAGTGCTGGGAAGCCCGAGGGGCCTGCTGCAAAGGGCGCCGCACCGTGCAGGGCATCCCACTGGCACTGTGCCTCAGCGGCTGCTTTCTGCTTCAGCTCAGCCAGTCGCCGCCGCTGCTCCTCAATCACCTGGTGCCCTGCAGGAGGGGCAGTGGGATTCACAGAGGGCTCCTCACTCACCGGGGGTGGGAAGACTGGAGCATCACAGAGAGAGGAGGCAGGCAGGAAGAGGCTAACGCAGAGCAGCCCCTGCCCCACAGCTGCCTGGTTCCCACAGCTCTAGGCCAGTGGCCCCTACAGTCATGTAGGCCAGTGTTTGCAGTCTGACTTCAGGCCTCTTCCAGCATCCCGGGCACACACAGGGCACACGACTGCCCTGGTGGTGCCCAGGCGGTATGCCAGCCAGCTGTTCCAGCTCGCAACTGAGGCCTGTACAGATGAGCAGGGCACATGCACCCACCATGTCTGCTGGGGAGGGAGGAGGGGAGCTGGTGGGAACCCCCCAGACAGTGCAGGCCCCCAGCAATGCAGAAGCAATGGCAGCCAGAGCAGGAGGGAAGGCAAGGAGACTGGAAAGCATAGCTGAGTGCAACAGGGAGGTGAGCTGGACCGGAAGCCAGCCAAGCAGAGGCCAGAGGGTGGGGGTGGGGTGGGTAACGCCAGCAGGCAGCAGAGCCTGGGCAGGACACATCATGCTAATGTCAGGACAGGGGCTGCCTGGCCAAAGCAATGTCCTGAGTAACCAATGCTCTACCTGCTGGGTCGTCGGGTGGGAGGGGCTCGGCAGGAAGTGACTCGACTGGTGTGGGGGGCCCAGGGCAGAGGGTGCAGGAGAGAGACACAGAGGGGAAAAGAGGAGAGAGAGGCACAGACATGGGCTTTCAAAACAACTGAAACACACATAGCCACAGGACTCCTGTCTGAAGAGCCAGTGTCTCAGGAAACCATTGCTGGAGGGCCTCATCACATCCACCCACTGCTTCCAATGTCCACCCTACTTGGTCAAAGATGGGCCCTCTAAGATGTCACAAGTCCTCAGACCCTGCGTCCCCTGTCCTGGGGTCTTCTGAGAACTCCCAGGAAGATCATCATGAGATCTGAATCTTTGCTGCTCTTGCCCAGATCCCAGTGACAGGAAACCTGGGCGGGTTGAGCGTGCACGAGGTGACAGAGGCTCTGCCCGGGGAATGGAGACAGGGGCAGGCTGGCATTACAGCCACTTACCCTTCTGCTGTAGGGCCAGTTGGCGCTTAGTCTCGATATCCTGCAGCGTGGCTGCCAGGTTGCGAGGAAGACTGCTGGTGCCATTCTGGGCAAGCAGGGCACTCTGCAGGGTCGGGGGGATGTAGGAGCGCTAGTATTGGAGCTCAGGGGACCCCATCCCCAGCCTAATGTCTGCACGGACAGCTTTAGCCTCTGCCCAACATGGCTGTCTCCATCCCCGACACCACACATGTCCTCAGACCTTTGGTGATGGACTACGGCCCAAGGTAGCCACGCTGAGCTGTGAGGAAGAGGATGAAGAGCCTGAGGAGGAGGGGAGAGGGCCACTACGTGTCCGCGGCAGAGGGCTGGTGGCCTCGCCATCCATCTTGGAGCGGTAAACCTGGAAGGGAAAGGTATTGCCCAGTGATCACCCAACTTCCCCACCAGCTGCTGCTTTATGGCACCTAGATCAGCTGTGATCCAAGGCACTACCCCAGCACAGGGCCTCTGAGCCCTTCTGGCTCCAGCAGTCAAGCCTCCTGAGTCAGCCCAGTGGGCAGAAGCTACTGGCAACTGCCTGCCCAAACACCTTTCCAGGTCCTTCCTCCCTGAGCCAATCTCTGGCCCAGGCCTGAATCTGAGGAAGGACCTATGAAGTGACCCATGCAAGAAGTTAGTGTCAAATGGACAGGGTTCTGCAGGAGACTAAGTGAAGGCCATTAACAGGCTGTGTGGCCTTGAGCCACACACCTTCCTACCCTGCATCTGTAACGGAAAGGGCAGAGCTAGATGAAGCCCCCGCCAAACTCCCTTGCGGTGCTGACATGCAGCACATCTGCCCTTCGGAGTCGGGAACGCCAGTCTCCATACTGCTTCCGAGCTGAGTGGCTTGGCTGAGACCGTTTCATGTTCCCCCATGCCTCAGCCTTTGATCTATACAATGAGGGCTAATACCATCTACCTCAAAGGCCTGTGGTGGGGATTCAATGCATCAAAAGCCGTCAAAGTCTCCAGCCAGCTTGGCACCCGATAGAGGGACCCCATGTGTTTACATGAATAGATCCTCCCGAAGGGACCACAGGATGTTAGCTGAGGTCACAGCCCCAGAGGTCCAGCTCCATCACTAAAGAATGAGTGAAGAGGTGGGATCACAGGCACTATGGCTCAGCAGGGGAGCACACTTTGGTGGCACAAGCGCCTGTGCCTCCCCCGATCCGCATACTGCTGGAGACTCAGATATGATGGTGGTCACAGCTGGCTTTCTAGAGCTGTCACTTCGGAGAACCTGCCACCCTCTTTTCTGCCTCTTTTCACCCCTGAGAAGACCGGGAGTATAAAATACCAGCAGCTTCCCTGAGTGACAGCAGGCCCAAGGGCACATCAAGCCCCCAGTCCACGTGAGAAACTCTGGGGAAAATGTCCTCCTAATGGTCACTCAGTCCCAACCCCCTTGGACTCAGGTGCTGAACTCCCTAGTTTCCCAAAGTGCCAGAATGGCAAGATGGATGCCCAGGAAAAGACCCTTGTTGCCCTCTCTGGGCTTACAGGCCCCTCCGTGTCCTGCTGGGTAACCACATGACAAGGTGTACATTGTGCCTGAAGGATTGGCAGCGGGTGCTCAGAGCGGACAGGAACAGGACCTGGGAAGACAGGCAGTGAAGGTTACCTGCAGCTGACGAGAGGCTTTGGCAGGCAGAGGCGGGGGAGAGGAGCGAGGGGAGGCTGCAGCGAGGCCAGTCCCCAGCCCGGCCATCAGCTCTTGGTACCACTGCTCTAAGTCTACAGCAGGGAGCAGCAGCTTCTCCATCTGGAGGGGCAGGGGGAAGGCAAGGATGGAGAGGAAGGGCAGAGACAGGAGGGGAGAGATGGGAAGAAGAAAAACATGAAGGGAAAGGAAAGGGAGGCCGCATCCGGGAAATGGGAGGAAGGGAAGAGGGAGGAAGGGAGGGAGGGAGGAGAGCATAAGGAGAAGAAGAGAAAAACAGTAAGGCAACAGTCACAGAACTGGGCTGGGAGCAAAGAGAAACAGTCAGGACACAAGTTCTAGGGCACGGACTTGTGCTTTGTCAGCTGCCAGGCTGCCAGCACTTGCAGGCATCAGGCATAGCCTTAGGCCCTCAGCTGGCTTAAAACTCAGAGGCCAGTGAGCAGGGGCAACACACACACAGTCACGCCAGCCATGGAATGGGGGGTAGCGAGGACACACAGACCACCAACCTTAGATGAAGGCGTGATGGAAGCGAAGGAAGAAGAGGGCAGCATGGGAGGAAGACGGGTGATGGGAACCAGGTGCCGGGAGGTAGAAGCCCAGGAAGGCAGGCCTGGCGAAGGGGCTGGGGGCATGGGTGAGGTGCCCCACATCACTTTTAGCTGCTCAAGCGTCACGTACTTGAGAGGCGGCCAGCCACAGGAGGGAATACAAGAGGTTAATGGGAGCAGAACCCAAGATATGGCCCTGACCACTGGGGAGGAGAAAGGTCGCAGCTTAGAAGGTCAACTCTGAGTCTCCTTGGAGATTAAAAGACAGGGTTTGGCCTTCCCAGACCACTGGGTGCTGAGGAGAGCTCCTAAGATCCCACGGAAGAAGATGAACTGTGTTCAACCCTCTATGCCAAGCTCAAGACCCCTTTGCCCCTGGCCCCCACCCAGGCTGAGAGGCAATGGAGGTCCCTGAGCATAGGTGGGTACACTCTGTGGCTGGTACCTCGCTGTCAGGCAGGGACTGGGGGAGTCTGGCAGGGCAGGCAGCAGAAGCATAGGGGTCCAAGCGAAAGCAGAACTGGAGAACCTCAGCCAGGCTCACATACTCCTAGGGTGCCCAGGGTGGGGGACAGAGAAGAGGTTAACAGGTTCGATCAAGTCCTCAATATCCCCACACTCCATGCCAGGCTAGAGTTACCACTTCACATCGCTGCAGAATCCACAGTGAAACAGGGCACTCGGCAGCCAAGTATGGCCACAACGGCTGGGGGGAAGTGGGCTTGAAAGAGGCAGGCAGAACTGACTATGGAAGGCTCTGCTCGACCTCTACTTTGGAGATGAGTGTAGCATTTAGTTGATGCCCAGAGAAAAACCAACATAACATCTAATGAATTGGTCCTGGGCAGGGAGCAAGTGAGGATGCCCAGAGAAGGTCTTCCTTCCAAAAGCCCAGTGAGAATCAGAACCCAGCTCCTAGAGTCCCATCTGCCTCTATCACACTGGGCATCCCCAGCTGGGCACACGCATGCAGTGCTAAATACTAGTCATGGCACTGCCCAGGAAGAGGACAGGTCCCCAAGGGTCAAACATCAGAACAGGCGAGTGAAGAGACCACTAAGGCCTGAGCGAGACAAACTCTGAGAAACAGGCCTGGCGTCGGCAGAGAGCAGGCAGGAAAATGGGTTGGGTAAGTACTTGGAAAAGCGTCAGTCCACTTTACTGGAGGCTGGAGGACAGGAACTGGATACTCTATCCCTAGTCCCCAAGCCTTGAGGTGATCTGGGTGCTGGTCACCCACAGTGAGCTTAGCCAAAGCACATGATCCTTAGGCTGCCTATCCAGGGCACCCCATCTAGCCCCAGAGCCACGCTATCTTCTGGGGTCAGAGAAAAGGAAGATGAGGCAGAGTTCAGTGTGCCGTGAGCATCAGAGAATGGCATGCAGACCGCAAGCAAACGCAAACGCACGCTAACATCCAGTATGGGCTGCCCAGGCACTCCGCGAATGACAAGATGGCACACTCACACCACCTCTCAAACTGCCAGCCCAAGGAGGTGCCACATGCCCTTCCGCCCTCCCTGGGAAGAGCCGGAGGCAGGAGTTTGGTTAGCAGGCAGACAGGCAGAGGGCAAAGCAGAGCAGGCAAGCAGCTGCCGTTACCTCTTGTGTTTTTGGACAGAGCTGAGAGGAAGCAGGAGGGGTTAAGGGAACAGAGGACGCCCCAGCCTGAGAAGACCTTAGGGATGGGCCCAGAGCCTTGTTCTCCAGCCCCATCTCTGAGGACACGGAGATGGACAGCTGAGCCTACAAGAGGACACATGGTGGGTGAGAGGGGCCTCACCCCTAACGCTCAACTCAACCCCCTGCTCCAGACCTAAGCTGTCTGGGCAATAAGACAGGGAAGAGGAGAGAAGTGTCGGGAAACCAGTTGGACTTCCCACATTAGATGTGAAGATTTGGGAAAGAACCATTCAACTTAAGGCCTCCTTCTAGGCTGAAAGCCTAGCTTTAGACAGAAGCCCAGGAGGCCTGGGGTAATGATCCATGGTCCCTGTATTCCTCTTTAGCGAGGTTCACCCAGACCTGAGCCTTTCCAAATTCTGAGCTCTCCACCACCCCTCCTAGGGACCCTGAGCCTCTCACATAAACTCAGCCACCCAAAAAGTGTGAGGTGCCAAAGGCAACTAGAGGCTGGTGGTTGTGAAGAGGTCAGCCCCCAAAGCCATCTTCTTCTAATCTTGACAGGAAGTGCACCTCACTCAACCACCCAAGATGAAGGTGGCACACCTTGCTCCTGAGTCTCCCGCATCCCCCAAGCCTAACGCTGGGGCTAACCCAGCCAGCCGTGTTACCTCTTTGAGGGTCGAGGTGGTCTTCGGAAAAGGCCTCCCGCCTGTGAGTGCATAGTATCGCCTCTCGAGCACGGTCAGTTTCTCCTTCTCCTGGAGGCCAGGACAGCAGGGTCAGAGCCATGGAAGCCAAGAGGGAGGACCCGCACCCAACTCCTGTGCTGGCAATCCCACCCCGTGACTCTCTCCAGAGACCCAAGGCCAGCTACCTTTTGCAGTAGCTGCAGGGCGGCATTCTTGTCCCGGGCCAGACGCTCTGACTCCTGCAGTGCTTGGGCCCGGATCTGCCCAGCCTGACTGTCCAGTACAGCAAGGCGCTCCTGAGGAAACGGGATGAAACAAGGCCCTGGAGGGACATAACTCAGCCCAAAGTTTGGCTGAGTCTCCTTCTAAAGACCCAGGAGTCTGTGACAGTAACCATCATACTCTCCTGCTTGGCTTCAACTCACCCCAGAAGAATCCTGGCTAAAGAGGTCAGCTCTTTCCCTCGTTCCTTCCTCTCTCACCCAGTGACCTTATGTTACTAGAGGAGCTAGCTGCAACCAATCCTCTATTCCCTCACCATGTAGCCAATGGTTCCTAAAGCCGTAACACTGAACAGTGAGCCCTCTGCCGACCCCCTCCCCCCACTCCCCACCACTAGAATTCGGGCCCTCCACTTCCTGCTGGGGTTTGCTCTCTCTCTCACAATGTTTAGATCCACTCTGCATTTCTACCCATTTTCCTAAAGTAGCCTCTGAGCCTTGTTCGGTTATCTGAATTTCCTTACATCCTAAAAAGAATGCCATACTACTTGAGTAATATTATCTGCCTGATCTTGGTTTTTTGGTCTTGCTAAATAATCCAAACTGGCTTTAAGTTCACTAGATAGTCCAAGCTTGCTTTAACACACTCTGTAAGTCCAGACTGGCCTTAAACTGACTTTGAGGTCGAGGCAAGTCTTGAACTCAAGGCGATCCTTTTGCCTCAGCCTCCTCAGACTGAACCATCGCCGCACTTTTTCCTTTAGTTTGGAGATGAGGTCTCCTGCTCCTTGGGTTGGACTTGAATTCCTGGGCTCCAGCACTCTTTTTGCCTCATCCCAGAGAAACTGGGACATAACCTTAGAACTCAAGTGTGGACCACAACTGTGGCTTTTCAGTAACTTTTAAAAAACTCAACAAGAGCTGGGTGGTAGTAGCGAGTGCTTTTAATCCCAGCACCCGGAAGGCAAAGATAGGTGGATCTCTGTGAGTTTGAGGCTAGCCTGGTCTACAGGTGAGTTCCAGGGCAGGCTCCAAAGTTACTGAGAAATCCTGATTTGAACCTTCCCCCAAAACAAAACAAAAACTTAGCAAGTGGGGCCTGGAAAAATGGCTCAAGGGTTAAGAGCATTGGCTGTTCTTCCAGACGACCTGGGTTCAATTCCCAGGATCTGCGTGGCAGCTCACAACTTCCTTTAACTCCAGTCCCAGGGGAGCCAACACATACATGGTATACAGACACACATGAAGGCAGAACATTCGAATAAATAAACATTAAAAAAAACACACACACACACAAAACCAGCAAGGCCAAATCACCCATGTCCTCAAAACCTTTCCGTGGCTCTTTACTAGCCCCAGACAGAACGCAAACTCCCTACCCAGCATTGGAGGGCTCTCAGAGCCGGTGCCTGCCCACTAGTCCCTCCACACACCCTGGCTCTACCATGCTGTGCTCTGTGCCACTGTAGACTTAGTCCTCATCCATCACCCTCTTGGCCCGGGAGCTTTCCCACTACCCCAAGGCTCCTCCCCCAAGGCCAGGCTGGATGCTTCCTCCTCTCCAAGCTTTCCTTGAATGCCATTCCATTTCCTTGTTCCTGTCTCTGTATTCACATTAGTCCACATCCATCCACCTCGCCTTACTGTGATCTGTGACTATCTCCACCACCACCTCCGCCCTCCCATAAGATCAGGGCAGACCAGTGCCATTTCTGTCTCCACAACCCCAACAGTGCTTAGCGTGGTCCCTGGCTCAACAATCATATGCTAAAAGAAAATGAAAACATTTTGAGAGGAAAAGATGAGAGCTTAGGCAAAGTGCGTTAATCTCAGGTGGTCTTAAACCACCACTCTTCCGAGCAGCATGGGTGGAGGCGGCACGGAGAAGGGAGCTATCCTAAACTTGGAATCAGCCCAGGCCAAACCTCCCTCCGCCCCCACAGACAGGAACCCTCCCAGCAACAGCCGCCACTTACTCTAACCAAGGAGCACTGGGGTGCTCCCGAATGTTATTTTTTTAAATCTGTTACTCCATCTAATCTTATGAAGCAGGTGCTTTTATGCCCATTTTAGAGATGTTTAGGGTTAGAATCTCTTGGGTAGTGGTAGACTTAGGACTAGCACCAGACCTGTAGGGGTCCAAAGCCAGCTTTCTCAACCACTCTGAACCATACTGGACCGATACATAGGCTGTATCTGTTTTCCAGGGAAAACAGAGCCAGAGGGAACTCTGCAGATACAAGGGCAAAGCTCACAGGGAGGACAGGAAAAAAATGTCATCACACATACAGACACACACATACGCACACATCCTAGGTGTTAACTTCACAGGGAGGATAGAAAAGAATGTCATAGCACACACTACACACACACACACACACACACACACACACACTAGGTGTTAAGTGCACAGGAAGGATAGGAAAGAATGTCATAGCACACACCACACACACACACACACACACACACACACACCCTAGGTGTTAAGTGCACAGGGAGGATAGGAAAGAATGTCATAGCACACACCACACACACACACACACACACACACACATCCTAGGTGTTAACTTCACAGGGAGGATAGGAAAAAATGTCATAGCACACACCACACACACACACACACACACCAGGTGTTAAGTGCACAGGGAGGATAGGAAAGAATGTCATAGCACACACCACACACACACACACACACACACACACACACATCCTAGGTGTTAACTTCACAGGGAGGATAGGAAAGAATGTCATAGCACACACCACACACACACACACACACACACACACACACACACACACAGACACCCTAGGTGTTAAGGGCTGAGCAGGTTTCCTGAGCCCTAGGCTGGTCACAAAGAGGAGAGACACAGTCGTTAGAGAAGATTTCCTCCAGACCGCTAATGAATGGGACCGGCTGATCTAAGCCTCCTGGTTGTGTTCCCTCCAGGTGAACAGGGAACTGGAAGAGGTGCCAACCTAGACCATATGGAGAACAGCAAACATGCCTTGGGCCTTGAAGCTAGCAGCCTTGCGTTCCCACTCTGACTCTGAAGTATATACTCTGGAAGGCTCTGTGCAAACCATGGCTTCTGAGTTCTAGTTACTCATCTATAAAGCGAGGCAGAGCTCCTACCTTATGAGACATCCTAAGGACAGCATGAGAAAACCCAAGGGGAGGTCCTAGCTGGGCATCTGGCACATGAGCTTGGGAACTTTAGTTTTCTTCCTTTCCTACATCTTCTATCAGGGCAGTAGGTACGTCTTAAAAATATTTATGTGGATATGTGTGCCTGTGTGTCTGTGTACCTATGTACGGGAGCTGGAGGAGGTCAGAAAAGGTGCTGGATCCCCTGGAACTGGGGTTATATTATAAACCACCATGTGATGTGGGTGATGGGAATCAAATCTGGGTTCTCTGGAAAAGCAGCCCATGACAGGTGTGTTTTTACAGCAGAACAGCTCAGGGAAGGGAACGAGGGATCTGGGCCTATGACATCCAGTGGTTCCCGCTTACCATCAAACCCGGGCTGGCCGGCAAGTCCCATTTCACCACATCTGAACCCTACTCCCTAGACCTCACTATCCTCACCTTCCATCTCAGCCTAGCCAGAAAACTGCACGTGGGTCTTTGACGTGGGTATCACAGAGTTGGACATCACTTAGACCCTCCTCCCTAACCCTTTCCTGCTTCTTCTGAACACCTGTCCCATCCTTCTGTCACCGCCTACACTTGGTGTGACTGAGACCAGTAGAGGACCACAGCGTTAGCAAATTGGAGCAGACCAGAGACAATGCTCCATCTTCTCACGTTAGCTCTCATTTTTACTGATAATCAGTTGGAAAAGGAGACACGAAAAGGTGTCTTTTGTGCCTTAACTTTCATAAAGTCACAGGCTGTGACTCAACCCCAGGTCACTAGCCTCCATCTGTCACTAGCCTGTCCGGGAGTGAGCAGGGCACACCTTCCTCTTGGTCACGCTGCGCAGCAGCTCAGCCTTGCTCCGTATCAGCCCCTGGCCTGCCAGTTCCCGCTCCTCCTCCACGCGGCTCTCCCGCTCCAGTTGCTGGAACTCCAGGTCCTCAAAGAGCTTTGTCTCAGTCTCCAGAGCGTCTGCCTCCTTCAACGACAGTGAAGTCCGGAGTTGGGTGGGGAGTGCTCTCAAAGACACTCTGGGCCAGGAGGGCCAGGCCACAGAGTCAAAAATTATGGGGGCTGGACCCGGGGCAACTGGGGAAGGAACCGGCCCCACTCCCCAACTCCCTCTGCTCGGTTGGCTGAGCCCTTTTCGTGGACATCGCCGTCTGGAGCGCTGATCCCCACCCAACCTTGCCGGTCCCCTTCCGAGCCACTGCACCGACCCTAGTGTCCGGCAGGTACTGCAGGGGCCAGGTGGTCCCGTCCCACCGCTCTCCTGTCTTCGGTCTGGGCGGTGGCCCACGGGGGCCGGGGGAGGGGGCTGGTGGAACTGACCCTTCTCAGCTGCTCCTGTAACTGTTCCCGCACTGACTCGGGGCAGTTATCGAGCTGCGTCTGGAGCTCGGCGTAGAGCGCCTGGCGGGCCTCCAGGTGCCTCCGTCCCGCGGCCAGCTCCGCCCTCTCCTGGTCGGCGGGAGGGGAGGGAGGCGGGGCACAGGGGAGAGAGAACACACACTCCTCAACTCCGGCCCGGCGCGGGGCGCAGGGGGGGGGCAAGGGTGGGCGCAGGGGGACGCCGGGAGTGGGGGGCAAGCACCGAGGCAGAAGAGAGCAGGAGAGGAAGGAGGGCACGTGGGTGAGGCGAGAGGCAAGGAGCAGAGCTGTAAGACGGGACTCAGGCAGGGGAAGGTGTAAAAAAGGCAGAGGTGTGGGGGCAGGGTGGAAATGTTGGTCCCTTTAGAAATGTTTAGGTAGGTCCTAAGACAGGACCTTCCGTTTAGGCTCCAGACCAAAGTTAAAGCTGATGCATCGTGGCAAGAACTGAGCCTCGGGCTCTAACACTGTCCCGAGACCAAAATTTAACCCTGGGGAAAATAGGAGAGGTGGGAAGGGTTAAATCCAGGAGTTAGAGAGTAAACGAGAAGCTGAAGATATTAGCGCTACAGCGGTGCAGCAAGGGGACCCCAGCCCAACCCCCATGGCCTCCCTCCCCCTCCTGCCCAGGGTGGGGGTGGGGTGCCAGCAAAGCAGGCTGAACTTCAGTGGGGATGAGGGTTGCAATTAGTTCGGCCCGTTGCCATGGTAATAGGAGCCCTAGGAGTGGATACAGGGAGGAGGTGGATGGCTCTGTCTGGGGCGAGATGACACCTCTGAGGGCGGAAAGGGGGACTAGGGGAGGAGTTGGTGAGTCACCCCTCCGAAGGACAGGCAGAGGAGAAACTGATTACTGATTCCAGAGCCAGAGTGGGGCCATGGGCTAGAAGCTGGGAGGGAAAGTCAAGAGAACCTCCTCACCACCACCATCACCACCATCACCACCTCAAACACCTGGACCAAAGGGAAGTCGAGATCCGGGCCCCTGAGCAATCTTGGTTAACTGAGGCTAGCCAAGTTGCTTGTGAAATGCCTCACTCCTAAGGAATAGACTCCCTTGCTGCACCTGCCCAGCTCACTGCATCTGCCCAGCTCACCTAACAGAGGGAAGGCCTTGCTCAGGTCAGGTCCTGAGGTCCAGACACTACTGTCTTTAAATTATCCTGTTTTCTAGATGGCCTCCAGGAACAGAGAGAGGGAAGGAACCATCTGAATTGAGCAAGAATGGATAGCCACTCCGTGGGCAGAAAGACCCTGTCAAGTCCTCCAAGCTCACATCTGGGCCTCCTAAGCACTCAGCTCCAAAGGGCTAGACAGGAGGAACCAACAGCTCACCTCCAACCCTTGCCCTTCAACATCCTGGAGGCAGCAGCCCAGGCCTTTCCAGCTGTCTGGGCAGATCAGCTCCTTTGGCCATGTACATCTTCCCCAGGACACACATCCTCGTACCCTCCTGTCAATGATCCACTAAGAAAATTTAGCTGTGCCTTCCTGCCAGTTCCTTTCTGATCATGGGGTCCCGCATCAAGAAAAGACGGAGGCAACATTAGAGGGGAGAGACCAGGGGCACGAAGGCACCCATGGAGTTAGTAAAGCTGGCATGACTCAGCCCTGCCTGGGTGGCCTGGCAGTTAGGGGCATGCGGAGAGCCCAGGACAGTGATTAGAGGGGGCGTTAGTGCAGGCCTGGTCGGCAAGCAGTGGGTTAATTTGGCACAGAATCTGGGAGTGTGGTTTTGGGGGCCAGAGCCAAAGCTCCGTAAATAAAAGGAGAGCAATGAATTTTAGGATTCTCAAAATTGAGAGAGGAAGATAACTCTCAAAAAAAAAAATCCAGAAGGAAAATTAAAACTTCTTAGAAAAATACTGTAAAATCCAGAAATAGATGAACCCTCTCCACTCCAGAGCTTTTTGGCACGCTGTTGGGCATCTTGGACATGGTTGGCACAACCCTTGTGGGACGGAACAGCCCCTGAAGATAGGCACGAAATCTGAAGGGGGCAGGGGCAGGAGCTGGGACCATCTGGGATGGGAGGCTGCAGATTCTGATGACAGGAAACAGAGGCCTGTGGGCCATCTCCCAAAGACCACATCCTAAGCACCTGAGCATGCTAGAGAGTGCTTCTCCCTACGGGGGTCCCAAACCTGAATCATGTCCCCCACCCCAGCAGCACCAGTCCTTCAGGTTGTACTCACTGCCCAAGAAAGGGCTTTGGCACTTCCTAGAAGAACCACGCAGGCTCCAGAATGGCAGGCACCCAGGCAACCAGAAGTAGCACAGAGATCCAGCTAAATGAGACCCCAAACACCAGCCCAGCCCCTGGCAGTACCATCCAAGCTTGTACCTTCCATAGAGAACAAGGCCCCCCATCCCTGGAGGGTTACAGAGACCATGTGGTGTGCAGGATGGTTGTTGAGGGATGTACAGCCCTACAGAAAGCATTTGCTCCTCTTCTGGGCCACAGGCAGTCAGGTATGGGTTACCTTGTCCCTCTCCTTCTGGATGCCGGTCTCCAAGGCCACCAACTTCTCCTGCAGCTGGTCCACTGCCCTTTGTTCTTTCTGCAGCAGTGTTCGCTCTGCCTCCCTCTCCCCCTGCAGCAATGCTCTCTCCATCTCAGCCTAGACACAGACACCAGGACCCTCATCAAGGCAGGGAACTCAGGGCGGGGCGCCCATCCCAGAGCCTGAGGGCCTCCCAGGCAGCTCACCTCTCGGGCTGCCTCCTGCAGCTGCTGCTCCAGCTCCTTTACTCGGACCTTCAGCTGTTCCACGCGCCCCAGCACCTGAGCCCGCTCCTCTTCCACAGCCAGCACCTCTCCCTGGAGCTTCGTGCTAGGAGCATCTTCATGCTGGAGGGGAGGAGAGCCACCCATGGAGGAAGTCTAAAACCTTCCGGGATCAGACGGACTAAGAGGGTGTGGATCACACATTCCTCAAACTACTTGAATGGGGTAAGTAGGCTAAAACAGGAGACTACTTCCCTCCCAGCCAAGGAGCTCAGTTATAGGGAAAAGATTTACCAGAGTGCCGGAGTTGGGTGGGGCCCCAAAGAAAAACAGGTCATAAAGCACATTTATAGCTTGGGAAAGTCATGGTCACCTCCCTTTTCCTCCTAGCTTCCACAGTTCTTCACCTTGATCCTTTTTCACTACCCCTCCTTACTGGGCCCTAGCGTTCCCATCAGCTCCTGGCCCCGCCCCCTCAGCCCCTAACCTCCTGCTGGGTGCTCTCCGTGCTGCTGCACCCATCAATCAGCTCCTGGCCCCGCCCCCTCAGCCCCTAACCTCCTGCTGGGTGCTCTACGTGCTGCTGCACCCATCAATCAGTTCCTGGCCCCGCCCCCTCGGCCCCTAACCTCCTGCTGGGTGCTCTCCGTGCTGCTGCACTCTTCTTTGAGGTTTTCTTCGTCAGAGCGTTCCATGCTCTCCCACAGGCGCTGGGAGGCACCTCCAGACTCCTCACCGCTCCTTCCAGAGACCACTGTGGCTCCTGTCAAGGCTCTTGAGGGCCTCCTCCCTGCCAATGCCAGGGCTGCAGTGGCCTCTCCAATACTGGGCAATTCCCCAGCCTCGGGTCCCCCGTCAGCTCGGCTGTACTCAGCACACAGGTTCAAGATGGTCTCCAGGCGCTGGCGTTCCTAGGGACAACGGGCGGACAGAGCATAAGGAACGGAAGTCTGAGATCTAAGGTGGCCCAAGTCAGGGTGTGCTGAACACCAGGGATTCACCATCATGAGGACAGCCTCAACCTTAAGACCTGTGGGAAAGACAAGTGCGGTGCACATCTTTATCCAGCACTCAGAAGGGCAGAGACCGGCACAGCTCAGAATTTGAGGCCTGGTCTACTTAGTGAGATTCAGGCTAACCAGCCAAAGACTACATAGTGAGACCCTAACTAAAAATAAATAAATAAAAATAAAAAAATGAAAAAAATTCAGCCTGGTATAGTGGCACATGCTTTTAATCCCAGCACTCAGGAGGCAGAGGCAGGTGGGTCTCTGTGAGTTTGAGGTCAGCCTGGTCTACAAGAGCAAGTTTCAGGACAGTCAGGGCTACATAAAGAAACCCTGTCTCAGAAAATAAAATAAAATAATCCTGTGGGGGAGGAGGGAAAGAGGGTCCCTCAAAAGAGGGCCAGAGAATAAGGCCGTATGCCACCTGTCCATGTGGCCGGCCCCTCCCACTGTCCTGTTTACTTCCCTTTTCATTCTACCCGAGGCTTCTTTATAGTCACATAAGGACACATCCAAACACACACGGGAACAGACAGCGGTCAGTAGCCTAAAGACCATCCTGAGACACAGAATCACCCGGTGCTCTGGTGACAGAGGTGCACACACAGGCCCCGGCACAGGGGCACATGGATCACTAGTTCTACATAGGCACACACAGACCCTCCATGTGTGCTGGGAGGTACATCAGGTAAGTACACACAAAGACACCAGCCCCGACATGCACGCACACACACACACAGATAAACATAGTCTGCACACAGCTGGGTGGGCACCTGCAGACAGACAAGGTCGGAAAGCAGACCACGGGCCACAGGACCTGACAGTTCAGACACAGGGAGAAAAGGCAGAGAGGACACTGTCTTCCTCACCTGTCCCGCCTCAGCTCCAAGTCACTCAGGCAGCCAACCCTTTGCTCCTTACTGGCAACTTAAGCTAGCTAGGTGTGAGCAAGTACTCTGTGGCTGTCAGTCTATTCTCTCACTATAAATCCTGACAAATGGTCACCTCTTAGGTGCCTAGGAGGCGAAGGAACAACGGCAGTCATGTTTCTGGTCTCCGTCCTACTCGTCCACTTACGTTTAACACCCCAGCCCTGACTTTCAAGCCCAGACCCTGACAGGGTTTCTGGGGTCTCTGACATCAAATCTCTGTCACCTCCTACATTGTGGCCTCAACTCTCCACCCCACAAGACTCACCTGGCTTCCTTCCTGCAGCTGGCCCAGTTCTGTGGCAAGAAAAAAAAATCCTCCAGGAACCAAGCCTTAGCACCGAGGAGGTTGGGCCAATGCCTCACCCCCGCCCTAGGACCCAGATAAGCAGCCTGGCTAAGGTAGGAGGGGCAGGGTGCGGGCAGGCGGCCTCTGACTTAAAGTGGCAGGTGGGGCAGGTTGGGGCTGGTGGTGAGGTGTGTACCTGTGTGTGGGGTTGGAGTGGGGAGGCTGGGCCCAGCACTGATGTGCCAAGGCTCATGATCCCTCTCAGGATGAAGATCCAGGATAGCCACAGTATAACAGTGATGACATGGGACAAAGACTAGGGGTCCTGCCTCCCACAAGTGTACTGCCCCACACCCTCACCCCAAAAGGACCAGCTTCTTCCCAGATTCTTCAGGCAAATGTCCTCCTCAAACCAATTCCAGAGTACCTGTGTCCCCCAAGATCCTGGGCTTCTGCTCTCAAGAGAAGGAAGGGAGAATCCATGTTCTCACATGTGGGCTCTGAGCACGCTATACCCAGCAGTCAATGCCCCTGGAACTCCCTTTGCTATTTGGGGGAATCCCAGCCCCCTCCCAGCACAGATGCCATCTCTAGGACAGCTGCCTGGAACCACACCCAGACTCAGCAGCACCATTTATGCACGCAGACACATACAATCACACAACCACGGAGGCAGCCAGGGGCTGCCCACCCTGCTTCCTCTTAGTACCATACTCTTAGAGGACCCACCTGGGCCAGAGTGGGTTCACACCCACTCAGAGGCCAAAGAGAAGCAAGAAAGGGGGACAAGGGTGCCCCATAAAGAACAAGCCCCAAGTAAAGCTGCTTAGCCGTGTAAGCCTGATGACCTGGGTTTGAGCCCTGGAACCCATGTAAAGACGGAAAGAAAGAGAGACTCCACAAAACCTGTCCTCTGGCTTCCACACGCTCACCATGCCATAGGCCTCCAGCAGCACACTCATGCACACACAGGCTGGTAATAAATAAATGCTTTAGAATAGGAACCCACCAGTTCTGGTGGCGCAGGCCAGTAGGATTTGCTGAAAGAGGCAGAGGATCTGGAGTTAGTTCAAGGCCAGTCTGAGATGTGTATAGCCAGGCAGTGGTGGCACACACCTTTAATCCCAGCACTCAGGAGACAGAGGCAGGTGGATCTCTGTGAGTTTGAGACCAGCTTGATCTACAGAGCGAGTTCCAGGACAGCCAGGGCTACACAGAGAAACCCTGTCTTGAAAAACAAAACAAAACAAAAGAGGAAATCCCACCACCACCACACACACACACAATCCAGGCATAGTGATGCATGTGTGTAATCTTAGTATGCAGAAGGCAGTAGGGAGATTATGAATTTGACCCAACCTGGACCACATAGCAAGCTTGCAGCCACACTGGGTTTTATAGTGAGACCCTGTCTCACCAAACCAATAAAAAAAAGCGGGGGAGTAGGAAATAAAAATAATTCTGGGGCTGGGATCTAGCTCAGTGGTAAGAGTGCTGTCCTGGTATAACAAAGGTCCTAGGCTGTCTCGCACTATAAAAGGAGAAAGCTAAACAAATGTTCCTCTCTTTTTCTTTTTGCAACAGGGTTTCTCTGTGTAGCCCTGGCTGTCCTGAACTCAAAGAGATCCACCTGAAGAGCAGCTGAAGAAGACACTATCCACTAACCTCTGGCCTACACACAGACACACACCTGTACATGCACACATACATACAAAGAAAAGTTTAAAAAGCCCTAGAGATTTCAAGGCAGGCTCCTCTTCACAGCACCAGGATCATGAGATACTGGTCACTTATCCTGACGGTTTATCCTGCAGAAGCCCAGGCCCTGTACATGGCCTCTCCTACTCTGCCAACTGGCCTACCCACACCCTGGCAGATGCACTGCCTTGGGCAGCGGCAGCTTCCCTGGCATCGGCTCACCAGCCTCTCCATCTCCTGTTCCCGGAGCCGCTCTTGGCGCTGTCGTCGGTGGTACTCCAAAAGATCGTCCTCATTGTCACTGATCTCCGTGATGCTATTTTTCCTCTCCCTTGCAATAGGCACCCGCAAATCCCCACTAGAAAGTTTCCTCTGAGCGCGGGGGCTCTGACGAGGTGAAGCCCCAGTAAGGGAGCCCAGACTATAGGCTGGGCTCAGCCTGCCACTGAAGCTGCCTTTGCGAGGTGCCAGGGACTCCCCAAGTGTAGGTGAGGGACTCCGAGTCCTGCGGCCCCGTGCTCCCAGAGTCAGGGAGAAGTCCTCTGGTGAAGTCCCATGAGCTGCCCAGCGCCTGGGCCGAGGACTCTCAGTCACTTCCCTGCTTAGCTTGGGATCTGGGGTAGTCCTGGCTGGCAGTGGAGACAGAGCCCTTCTGGACAGAGATGGACTCAAGGGGGGCAGTTCTCGCATACTGTCCAGGCCTCGTCGGCCCAGGCGAGGACTCTCAGGAGGCTGGAGGGTACGGGTTGCGGACCCATCTGAAAATGTTCGGCCCACCAGTTGTCGAGAGGGGCTGGTCGTTAACACCCGTTCTGTGCCTGTTCCTGGACTGGGAGGGCGCTCCTGGAGTGTGCTAATCTTATTTCGGGGAGCAGGGACTGGAGACTGGAACTTGGGGCTGCCAGGAATACTTGTGGGTTGGCTGCGGGCACCAGAAGATGGGTATTCACTCAGGCTGATAGCCACCACAGGTAACTGCCCACCCAGTCGGGGGCTCTCGGTGGTTCTGCGGGCCTCAGCCAAGACTGTGGCTGCAGGACTGTCAGTCAGAAGACCCCGGAGCCCAGGACTGGGAGGTCTCTCATGACCCCCTTTTCTGCCCAGCCGAGGACTTTCAGAGGGACGGGTTGCACTTGGACGAGACTGTGGGGGTTGCAGAGCCAAATGGTAGCTAGAGGAACGGACAGGCACCAGTGGAGGCACAGACGGTCCTGGCTCTTGCCCGCTGGGTGAGTGGCTGGCACAGCTTCCGCTGCTGGCTGGTGAGGAAAGAGGAGAGAAGGCTGGAGAGGTGTTCTCATAGCTGGAGCCCACAGACATGGCACCGGGGCTGGTTGGAGGGGACAACAGGTAGCGGCCACCATTAGCCATTGGTGACAGCGGGGATGTGGCCGCGGGCTTCTTGCCGGCAGCTCCAGGCTCCTCTAGCACCAACGAGTCCATGATTTCCTGCAGGTCCTTCTCGATAGAGCTCACCAGGGAACTGTGGCTGGCACAGGCTGGAGGTGCCCGGGTTGCAGGCTGGCCCGTGTGGTTCCCATTCACCAGGCTCTCTGATTCGGCTGAGAGGAAAAGTAAAGAGGCCTCAAGCTCTGTTCTGTTTTTGTTGCTGTTGTTTTTTTTTTTTTTTTGGGCTTTAGGGAGCCACACACATGCACAAGCAAGAAAATACCACCCAACGTCATCCCAGGGCAGTGGGGCCAGAAGAGACGAGTTTTGGCACCAGCCCTCTCTGCCACTGACCTGTTCTGCAACCTTAGCCAAACTCTTGTGCCCCGAGGTCCCCTCCTTTCAAGGAAGATGATAGGCAGGACCTTCCTGGCTCTAACAGTGAATGACTCAGGACAGAGTCAGCAACAATAACAGGTACTTACTTCTAAGCCTAGCTGTTTCCAGCTCACCCCAACAGTACAGTCCTCCTTGCCCTGGTTTCCCCAACTTTCTGTGCCTCTCTTTTAGGAAGAGCAGGTGGGCACACTGCAAAAGAGGTGTGGATCTACTGTGGAGCTGGCCAGAAGTTCCAGGGCTACTCAGTCTAAGAGGCCACCAGAGCCTCTCAATCCAGCAGTCAGAGCCTGGGGTGGGGGCTCCAGGGCTGGATGAGCAGTGACAGCCGTGCCAGTTTATCCAATCCCACACAAGAGAAGGATTTGCTAATGGCTTGTTCCTGGAAGCCTGGCTGAGGAGCCTCGAGGTACAGCCTAGTGTCTCCAATTATTCCATTATTCCATTAAAACCACACCAGCAAGAACCAGCTTTTGCCTGGCTCTAGCCTTTGTCAACCACCTAGGAGATTAGAATCCACAGAAGCAATACCCAAACAGCTAAAGGAGTGACATGACCAGGCTGGGGTGGGGGAACAGTGAGCCCCTAGGGAACTGAAAAACATTGGAGCAGGGAGCGAAGAATAGGATGGGTTTGCAAGATTGACTAAATCAGAGTGGCCACCATGCGTTCCCAGTGACCACTTGTCTGTCGTGAAGTCACCCAACTACGGAGGTCACAAATGATCATCCCATCCATCGAGTGACCCTGACATACTTGCTCGCCTGCCACAGCATCAGCCTTGGCCCTCTAGTCCCACAGCCATCTGAACGCCACTGCAGAGCTTAGGGTGGCACGTACCCTGTTAGCGCCCCATCTGCACCCCACCCCCTAGGCAGCTAGCTGGCTGAGGGGCCTGTGTTGATTCCTAGAACAATCACCAATTCTCCTCCCGGGATCAATAATTCACACACAAGTTGCAGCTGTTCTCTGAGTCATTGGTCGGCATGGCATGGCCCGAGGGCCTCGGGACATGATCACCAGCAGGGGGGACCAAGAAGCTACTAAGGACCATAACACTCCAGTCCCCTTGAATGACACACTCTGGCAACACAAGAGGGCCAGGGTCTCAGACACGGAGTCAACTTCCAAGGCCGTAGGGTTACAGGTAAACAGAACCTTGTAGATCCTCAAGGCACATAACTTCCCAGCTTGATCCAAGCAGCATTGCCTTGGATCTTTTCCAGTGACCCCACGGCCTAGCATTCTCCACTAGCTCATGGCAGGTGGCAGCGAGCCCAGACCACTGGTATTGTCCTGCCCTAACACTTCAAGAGTGGTTGGAATGGGCAAGGACACATGTCTAAGGGGGTGCCACTCACCCAGCCCCGTGTCCTAGCTGGATACTACTTACCAGAGCCAGGGTTGTAGGAGGGCCCTGGGGCCCGGGCCCCTGCTGGAATCATACTCTTCATCCACTTGGCTTCAGCGGGGTGGTTAAAGCGCAGGAAGGTGGACTGGCCCAGACACAACATGCAGCCTGCAGAGACAGCAATCACTTAGCCACCCCAACCACAACACTAGCATGCTTACGGTCAGCTCCCAAGAGCCAACCCTGCCCGTACTCGGTGTCCATACCATGTGTATCTGCCCTGCGATGGAGCCCAGTGATGAGCCGCACAGCAAAAGTCAGAGTAGGAAAGATCACTGACAAGTAAGTTCCCCAAATCAAAGTCCTCCTGCTAGCTCCGCACTAGCTACAAAATCTTCAAGTGATGCCACTCACTGCAAGCTAGTTCTCTCATAAAAACGGGGCACTTGATACTGCCAGATCTCCCAGGGTTAGTAAGATTGTGTATGCAAAAATTCTCCAGAAGTAGAAAAGGTTCTTCGGGAAAAAATGAACCCTTAGGGGCTGGAAAGATGGCTGGTGGGCAAGAGCACTTGCTGTTCTTGAAGAAGGCTGGAGTTTGGCTCCCAGCACCTACGTGGTGGCTCAAAACCACCTGAACTCCGGTTCCAAGGACTGTGATGCCTTCTTTTGATGTCTGAGGGCACAAGGTGTACATCTGGTACCCTTACATACAGGTAAGCAAAACACTACACATACAGTAAATAAATCTAAAAAAGAAAAAAGGAAAGGAAAGGAAGAAAGAAAGAAAGAAAGAACAACCACCACCAATGTGTACCTGTGATCCATCGAATTGCCTGGGGTAAAAGGGTTAGTTGGAGAGGCAGCATCTTCCTGAGTCACACACACACACACACACACACACACACACACACACACACACGATATGGTGACAAACAAAACAACCTAGTGGGACTCAGAACTTACTCTAGTTCCTTCCTGTGATATGGCTTCAAGAGTGCTACAACCCTCTCTGAACACCTAGAGAGCGAGTGCTTCTCTCTTTTGGACAAAGCATCGCCCCCATCCCCCCCCCCCCCCGACTGTTTCTTGGTCTCCCATAGAATCTAGCCAGTTCTACACCACTGGGCTCAGCTTGAGCCAAGCACATTCCCAGGCAAGAGACACAAGCCCAGTCCTGCCCAGGAAGTACGAGTGCATAGAAGGAGGTGGGTATGTGGGAGCCAGAAAATGTAGCCAGGGGCCCAGGAGTGTGCACAGCAGCAGGTGTGCCCGCAGGCGCCTAAGCCTGGCTGGCAGAATTCCTCCTCCTGGCCTTGCCAGGTGTTTCCAGGCTCCTGCAGAAGACGCCTACTGGAAGAAGTCAGAGCCCTAGGGCTCTCCACTACTGAGTCTTCCAATTTGTCCACACTCCCAGCCCCAATCTCCTGGCTACCCAATCCGGTGCTACCTAGTGCCCCATGCTTCATGCCAGTCTGGGCTCTGACTGGCAGGGAAGTCAACATTCCAGGACGTTGAGGCAGTTCAGCTCAGGGAAGGCTGCAAGGGCAAGGGACATCCCAGGCCAAGTGGGTACTTGGACTCGGCTCCCCTACTGAACTCAGAGGCCCGATTCTGAGACCCTGGACACTGAGGGGCTCGAAGTCTAAGAAGCCCACCCACGGCAGAGACCTGTATCGGACAAAGCCACCCACTACTTTGGCACACCCACAGGCCCTCCCAGGCAGACGGCACCAACAGTTCTAAAGGCTGATGGGTGGTTGGGAGAGTAGGGAAAGCCTTCCTTGCCAAGCCACCAATCAGAGGAGCTAATCCCATAGTAATCATAACTGGGATAAATAATAGTCACCGAAGCCATCCACCTAATTACAACTACAGCTGTTTCAGGAAAAGCCAGTTGCCCATCCCCTTTCAGCCGAATATTTAACAGTCTAATTAATGCTGAGTTTTAAGGATCATCATTCAACTCTAGGGTGATGGGGGCAAGGGGCTGCGGCTGATCACACAGTCTAAACTGGGCTGCAGGTGGGGAGGCGAGGTGGAGTCTATCCAAGCAGTGCCAGAACCACCCAAGGAGGCTTTGGGTAGCTAGGGACCCTCTACCTTGGCACCTACGGCCTGGAGTCATTGCCCTGCCCCCCACAGGGGGTGTGGCCATGTTGCTCTGGGCTATAAATAGTGGTGCCAGGCACTGGTGCTGTATTAATAGAGTGGGCAGGAGGGCAGCGGAACAGAGATCAGAGCAGCTCTGGCCCAAATTAACTTACTATTTGTACTCAGGGGCCGCAGGCATTGCTCCAACTCTGGCACCTACTGCCCCGAGAGACCTGGCCAGCCATCTATGTTAGGAAGCCCCCTCTCCGCTCACTCAGACATCTTAAGAATCCCAGGAAACCCTGGCCATCCAATCAGAGTCAAAAGTCCCTGCCTAGAAGGACTCAGAGGCCAGCTGTGTACAGGCAGGTGGAGGAACCGCACATCTGGAGGGAAAACACTGGGCAAAGGAGAGGGTGGATCCTGTTTGTGAGATGCAGAAGGGAAACACCCTACGCCGACTCACACACAGACACTCAGAAACCATACAGGCTTACGGCCATATGGGCAGACATGCTGCACACTCAGAGAGACAGTCACTGCCCGGCTGGCCACACAAATAGAATAGACTGGCCAAATGGACGGTGGGTGATGAGCCCGGGACTCTTCCCATCAGAGACTCCTTTTAGTCATAGCATAAGCTCCCTCAACCTAAACAGGACCCCCTCAACAGGCTCCGGAGGCGGGTCCCAAGGAGCAGACTGCTCAGTGGTGGGGAAGATGGGGTCTGCACAGTCAGTCACTCAATAACTCAGACCCCCACACACACTCAAAGACGTTCTGGGCACAAACGCCATCAGATTCACAGCCTCAGGCTCCCAACGAGGGGCAAGGACCCCATTCTCCTCATTGCGCCCACCCTTCCCAGGACGCCCCTCCCAACCGGAGCGTCTACGCCCGGTTGCCTGGAGCAGTGGCTGACCAGGGTGAGTACTCACCGCTCAACCTGGACCTCCAGACCGTTCGTTCCTACTAGCCGGAGCCCCGCAGGTCGCCCGCCTGCCCTGGGCCTTTGAGGGGGCGGGCCGACCTCCCGCGCCGCCGGCTCCAGGCGCGGTGCAAGCAGCCAGGCAGCGAGCAGCCGCCAATGCCCGGGGAGGGGCGGGCCGGCCACCAGTGGCGGGGGAAGGGAGCCAGAGAGGGAGGGACAAAGGCGAGGAGGAGGAGGGGAAGAGGAAATGATGGAAAAGAGTGTGGAGCAGGATGGAGAGGGCGGGGTGGGAGGGAGGATGCCACCAGGCGGCGGGCTGGAGAATCCGCGCTTGGGGCTGGAGAGATAGTGGAACAGGCAGGAGAGGCTCCCAGGGAGATGACGCTGAAAGTTAAGGTGAGAGGTACAGGAGGCCGGAAGATGGAGAGCCAGAGGTCGGAGTGCTACCAGGCTCTGTCTCACCTAGAGCTCTCTAGAGTAGGAAGTCTATGGCTGAAGCCCATGGGGGGGGGGGGGGGCGGCAGTGTCACCTTGGGGGCAATCACAACTTCTGGCCTAGTGGCCTTGAATTCTTTATCCACTGAAGAGGAGGGTGGCCTCAGCGACAGCAGAGGACATTCTATGACTCCATATATGAGGGAGAGAAGAATAAGACTCCCCATGGGGGTTCAGCTAAGGTCACTAGGTTTAGCTATGACCCTCAGTCCAACACCGTGAGACAATGTCACCCTGGATTGAGTGCTCAGGCCAAGGCAATGTTCTGTGCAATGCAAGCAACACTGATTTCGGCTCCTGTCACCACCCTACTGGCCTTTTCTTCTGGTCCCCACCCACCAGTGCTCACCCTCACTGACCCAGGCTGCATCAAGCGCTTCTCCTCCAGAGCCAGCCCACCGGCCAGCCCTTCCTTTTTCTTAGCCACAACCTCCAGGTGGGGTACTGCAGCAAAGAGCTGTGCACCTCCTCTCTGGCTGAGAGGTAATCCCAGCACTCAGAGGGCCGAGACAGCGGATCTCTGTGAGTTCTAGGCCAGCCTGGTCTACAGAGTTAGTTCCAGGACAGCCAGGACTACACAAAGAAACCTTGTTTCAAAAATGGGAGGAGGGGGACCTTTCTGGGGCTGGAGAAAACCGCTCCATGTTTAGGAACACTGGGTGTTCTCATAGAAGATCTGGGTTCAATTCCCAGCACCGACATGGCACTTTAGAGCTGTCTGTAACTCTGGTTCCTGGGGATTCACCTCCTTCTTCTGGGCATTTCCATGGGCATCAGGCACACATGTGGTATACAGACATACATTTAGGCAAAACACCCGTACACATAAAATATTTCTTAAAGGCTCTTGCTGTCTGGAGCCCCTAAGGTCAAGTAAACAAATGTTATAAACCGGGATGGTATAGACCACGTAGCTGGGGCCCCAGGGAGTTGCTTTTAACCTAGGTACCTGGTCCTGGACACCAAACCCTCACAGGACAACCTGTGCACACTCTCAGACACGCTGTGTTTTCAGCAGCCCAGGGAGCTTCAACTGTCATCTCCAATACACACCAACACTGCCCAGTCACACTGATCCCCCCCCAAGCCGAGCGCACACTGAGCCAAACAAACATCCACATTATACACGCTCTATCACACACACACAGTTATTGTCACACACTCTCATGCCCCCAGCCCCCAGCCCCCTCTTAGTTCTAGACTTATTTGAGCCCCAGCTGGCCTTTCACATCAGCCCCTGGAGGGACTCTGAAATAAAAAGTCAGTTTCCTTAGAGAAATGAGGGAATTGTTCCTTCTTGGCGAGTAGGTCACCGCCTCGCCCACTCACTGACATACTACACATGCCCGCGTGCAAACACACACAGACACACTCACATGTTCACAGGAAACTTATTTCCCTTCCGAAGGGGGCAAAAAAAAAAGGAAGAGCCATATAGGGTCAAATGTAAAATGAAGGGAGGCGTTAAAAAAAGAGAGACTCCCCAGGAAGAGTGAGTCACTGGTCTGGAAACTGTGATGGCCAGCTGGACAGACCCAGGCAGACAGGGAGATGCTGCCAGAGAGAGACAGTGCAAGAGGCAGACACAAGGAAGCTGGAAGCTCCCAGTGTTCACCCCTGCTCTCCTTCCCTTGAGTTTTACTAGTAAAGATTGTTATCAGCCCTAACAGAGAAAGCTTGGAGGCTCCCTGCCCAGTTCACAGAAGGAATAACCTAACTGGAGGGGAGGGGAGAGCCTGATGCCCTGGATCACAGGAAGACAGCTGGCACCCCAGGAATCCTGGCTATCTTGGAGCCCCTTCCCACCAATGGGAGGTGGTTTCAGAAGTGAAGGACATTTAAGACAGTGGCAGCTCATGGTAGGAGTTGATGGGGGGACCCACTGTCTAGACAGCCCAGGCCCTGAGCTGTGTGGCTCTCTGGAGTCTCTCTTCCTTAGTCCCCTCCCAAATCTTTCATGTGGTTTGGTGCTGTGGTCCTAGGGTGGAGCAGCCTAGACCCAGGAATGAGATGCCTCTGCTTCATTTCCGTGCTCCCTCTCCCAGCTCCACCCCTTGCTCTGTAGAGAAGAGGGCACCATGGAATGTGCCAGGATGCCCGGGCACAGGGGTGGCTCCCTCACATGTTCACTTCTCTAGGCTAAAGGTTGGCATCTGTTTTCTGGCCTCCTCCCCCTCCCCTGGTCCAAGCACACGCCTGACTAGAAGATCCCATCACTGCCATCTCTGCTTGCCATGAAGCGTAGCATTCCAGGTTGCCTATGGCTGGGCATAGTGCCCAGACTGATGCTTCTTCTAAGGCGTGGTTCAACCAAAGAAAACTTCCTGTTATTCCCAAGATATCCTTTTACCTCTGGTCCAACCAAAGAAAGCTTCTTGTTATTCCCAAGATATCCTTTTACCTCTCAGAGAGGATCCCCTGTATAAGGCCAGAGCAGACAATATGCGAGGACAAGAGAGAGAGAGAGAGAGAGAGAGAGAGAGAACATGCAGAACCTAGAGAGAGAACATGCAGAACCTAGGGCCTCATGCTGCTAGATAAGTGTTCTGCCACTGAGCTACACTCCCAGCCCTATGGGATCCTCTGGCACACATGCCATGCCACGGAGTTCTCATGTACAACACAGAAAACACACATAGACATTTTGATGCCATCAGTTCTAAGTTCGCCCACCACCCATTTGACTACACTGGTCTGTAAACACAAGGAAAGACACAAATAAACACCAAAATACACAAGCCCCGGAGACACAAACATATCCGGAGATACATAAACAAAGTCCAGTTACATAGACACACAGAGATAGCACATGCACCCCCGCACCACCCAGTATCCAAGGAAACGCACTCCCAAGAATGTCCGGACTGGGGCCAGGCAGGGCTGGGCTTGGTGCCTTGCTCCAGAGATGAGACAAGGAAACCCTCAGCTCCTGGAAGCCAAGGGGGGGTGGGGGTGAAGAAGAACACCCATTCCTTTGTGCCTCTGCCTACCCTGCCAGGCTTCAGAAACAGGCGAGCCCAGACAAGAAGGCTGGTTTGGGGGGTGGCAAAGGGAGTTTAGGGTCAGAAGAGAGTAGGAGGGTACATACTTGGCAAGATGGGCTTCTGGCCTCGGGAAAGCGGGGTCACTAGGGCCACAGGAAATGTTTAAGAATCCCGTTGTGGCCTCAGACCCTCGCTCTTCTTGAGAGCTAAATGGTGCCCTAGGAAGATGAAACACAGCATCGATGCTTCCAGATCAGTCACTATCCACGGGGCAAGAACGCTTTTACTCTGCGGAAACGATGGCATTGGGGCTGGAAGGTCATAGAATTCGCCCCGTCCCTTCCTTTGCTGCTCTGTGTCTCACTTACATATCCCTGAACCCTGGAGCAGATGCTCTCCCTGATCCTCAACAGGACAGCCAGGGACCAGACAGCATCACACCCAAAGCCCCAGCTTGGGAGGACTCCTCCCACTCAGAGTCAGAGACCCCAAGTCTCAGGAGAAGGCCGGCATGCCCTCAGGCGCTGTGGGACCTGCATCCCTGAAACACGTTATCCATGATCAGCCGTACGCTGGGAGCAGAAGGGGTAAGTGGAACATGGTTAATTCCTATGGTAGCGGTGAAGGAAGTGGCACTTAAGACTCCCACAAAGCTTGGGAGACAGAGGACTGAGTGGGATTTTTCCTGCAAAGGGGCTTCCAGCCAATGAGCTTCTGCTTAGAGTCAGGATCAGCCCAAAGCTTCCATCTTTAAATAAATAAATCTGACTCGCAGAGATCCTCCTGCTTCTGCCTCTGGAGTGCTGGGATTAAAGGTGTGTGCCATCACACCTGGCCAGATCTTTTTTCAATCCCTTAATTAAAAGACTCACAAATGGCTGGGCGTGGTGGCTTACACCTTTATGCACACAGGAGGTAGAGGCAGGCGGATCTCTGTGAGTTTGAGGCCAGGCTGGTCTACAAAGTGAGTTCTAGGACAGTCAGGGTTACACAGAGAAACCATGTCCTGAAAAACCGAAAAAAAAAAGAAAGAAAGAAAAAGAAAAAAAAGAAAGGCTCACAAATGAACTAATGGTGCTTAGTTTCCAAAGTGAATATATCTGGCCTATTCAAAGTACCACCTACCCAGTCCTTACCTGCCTGGTAACCATGGTAATTAGGGGACTTTACACACCAGGGCCTCCCTTCCCAACCGAGCAGCCTGGAGCCTTAGGAAACAAAAGAATAGCCACATCCATAACCCCAAGCTACCATGTAGCAGGAAGAGGCACGTCCTCAGATTGTTCCAATCCTCAGATTGTTCCATCAGATTCTGCCCTTGCCCCATCCCCTCAGGAGAGTTCATCCTCTAAAGCAGAAAAGAACTCTCTCTGGACATCACAGAACACCTCTGAGCCTTCCTCACTATTGTTCTACCCGTTCTCCCCCTACAGCCACAAAAAGCCACATTACATGCAGAAATGAAAACCTCTTCTCTCCATGTGGTGTGTGAAGAGCGAGAGGAGAGAGAGAGAGAGAGAGAGAGAGAGAGAGAGAGAGAGAGAGATCTAGCAAAGTCTGGAAGCTGGGGTGGGTGGGGAAAGGGTGATTTTAAAGATGTTCCAACAGGGCTGGAGAGATGGCTCAGAGGTTAAGAGCATTGCCTGCTCTTCCAAAGGTCCTGAGTTCAATTCCCAGCAATCACATAGTGGCTCACAACCATCTGGCATACAGACAGAATATTGTATACATAATAAATAAATATTTAAAAAAAATAAAGATGTTCCAACATTGACACTGACCCTGCGTACACCAGTCATCAGCTGACAAGGGGACCATGGCGGCAGCAGACACCCCCCCCAGTACAGCCAGCCATCCAGCTGACAAGGGGACCAGGGCAGCAGGCTCCCCCGTAATCTAACCTGCTTATTGGTGTGGAGATACCAAACCTTACCCTGGGTGAGCCGGGTAGGCTGCCGAACAGGGAGCCCATCAATTGTGCAGGCATTGCCACAGGGGTACAGGGTGAGAGTGCCCCTCAGATTCTCGATGTAGCAGTGTTCTGGAGCCAGGCCTGGACCCTGGAGTGAGATATCCCTGGCTGCCGAACCAATAACTGTCCTCCCTGGAGACAGAGGCAAACTGAGTCAGAACGGTCATCCAGACTAAGAAGTCAAGCAGAGGGTAAGGGGGCCACTGTGCAAATATTTCTCTAGCTCCTACTTATGTCGAGACTCTGCCCTGTTCTGGCCACCCCTCGCTGGAGCCAGCAAGTGGTAGAAACTCCTCCCAAGCAGCGAAAACTCTGTCTGGGTAGAATGATCCAGAGAGGCCACAGAACCCAGACATCCCGGCAGCAGAGAGGGAACCTTCTCTGTTTCCCCGAATGTCTCACTGGCTTCCTCCTTTTCCTCCACCCCCCCGACTCCTGTCTTCTTAGAAATTGCCCTTCTCTCTCAAGTCCTTCTGTTACCAGGGACCTCCCCCCTCCCTTCCTCTCTCCAGTCCTTTCTCTAGCCAGCCAGTGCAGCCTCTCCCCTCCATCCGTCCCTGGTAGAGCCCTTGAGACTGGCATTTGGAGAATGTGGAGAATCCAGTATCACCCAGGCAACAGGTGCAGCCAGGAAGGGAGAAAGGCAGGCAAAAGCCATGCCAGGGTCTCCTCTGAGGGTATGTGTCCTTGGTTCCCATCTTTTCATGTTCCACACAGCCCTCTCCTATGCCAGGCATCATCCTGGAGCAAGGGGTGGCGGGCGGCTCACTTCTCGATTCCCATAGATTACTAAAACCAACACGCTTCCTTCTTTCTCCCTCCACTCTTCCTTGATTCTAAGCTGATCTTTAATCCCAGCCATGGAGTCAGTTTATCTGCCAAAGAAGGCAGTCAAGGAGGCAGAGGAGGCAAACATGGCTTGCACAAGGCAGAAGGGACCCCACACTACAGCCTCCGGGGCAGGAGTGCACTGGGTGATGGAGAGGGCAGGTGCCATGCTCACCTTCCTCCAGCGGCAGGAGCGTGATAGCGGTGCTGAGCCTCCCGCTGCCCAGGCTCACCAGATGCGGTTTGTCCGTCTGCACTTTCAGTCCTTTACCTGTCTCAATCAGGTCCAGTGGACCTTTCTGCAAGCAAATGGATGGAAAGTTAGGTTTAAAGACTCCAGGCCGGGACCTGAGATCCCTACTCCCAGTCTCCAAAAGGCTCTGAGGTTGCTGAAAGTCTTAGCACAAAGGTCTTATACAGAGTATTACGGCACCAAATTCTACTTACATTGGAATCTGGACCACTAGCTCTCCCCGCTGGATTTATCTCAAGCCTATGCTCAGCTGCCCCTTTATTAAAATAGAAACAAGGAGGGACCACGGTATCTAGTGGGAAGGGGTGCAGTCGAGGAGGACCCGCAGGCTGTGCGCGGCTACCCATATGGCTGTGGCTTGCTCCTGCTAAATTGAACTACAGGGGAGGATGGAGGCACAAATCAGTTAAGTGATCCTGCCAGAGGGAGTCTGTAAACCCCTTTCAGACTTTCACAGAGGAGGTTCACGTTGAACCAATTAACCTGACTCAGATGAGCTGGCTTGCAACTAGGGACAAATGGACGAACGGACAGACAACAGGCAAAATCCTTCTGCTCTCATCTGTGGACTTGGGCATGGGTGAAGGAGATGAACCCAGGACTGGAGAAATGATTCCGTGGGTTAAGAGTGTATTCTGCTCTTGCAGAGGACCCAAGTTCAATTCCCAGCATCGACATCAGAGGGCTCACAAGTCCCTATAATTCCAGGCCCAGAGTTATTTGTGTCCCCTGACCTCCTTGGGTACCTGCGCTTCATACACACATACCCACCACACACATAAACCTAATTTAAAATAAAAATAAAATTTAAAAAAGAAAAGCTCTAGGACTGGAGAGATGGCTCAGCGGTTAAGAGCACTGCCTGCTCTTCCAAAGGTCCTGAGTTCAATTCCCAGCAACTACATGGTGGCTCACAACCATCTGTAATGAGGTCTGGTGCCCTCTTCTGGCCTGTAGACAGAATACTGAGAATACTGTATATAATAAATAAATCTTTAAAAAAAAAAAAAAAAAGAAAAGCTCTAGCCAGGCGATCGGTGGCGCGCGCCTTTAATCCCAGCACTCGGGAGGCAGAGGCAGGAGGATCTCTGTGAGTTCGAGACCAGCGTGGTCTACAGAGCTAGTTCCAGGACAGGCTCCAAAGCCACAGAGAAACCCTGTCTTGAAAAACCAAAAAAAAAAAAAAGCTCTGAACCCATTCTCACTACTCACTAGCAGCCCTCTTACCTTACAGTCCCAGGTCCACTTACCTGTACCACAGCCTGGGGCTTGCACGCAGGGCCTCGCTGGCTCCTGTTTAGAGTATCCATGGTCCCGGGGTTGCACAGCTCCTGGGAACACAATAAAAAGCAGGTAAGTGGGAAGGTCAGGGAAGAAAAGGGAGAGAAATGGGTTCTGTGACAGGGTTCTCAGAGTAAAGTAAGCACAAGCTGCTGCTATCCCCAGTGCACATACAAGAAAGGTGGGGGAAAACTAAGAGGCTTCGGGGTGGGAGGAACAGAGGCGACACACCTCTGCCTCCATTCAGCTCCCAGCTACAGCATGGGCACTGCGCCGCACCAGACCTGATCCTAGTCACCACAAGCACAAACGGCCCTCGAACTCTAACTCATGTTTCCGTGTTTTCTTGCTCTACACTTCCCAGATCCGGGACTTAGCAGCAGAGGACACCTACCCCACCCCCACTCCCCAGTCATCTGGAGTCTTAAACAGAGCAGGAAGGGCCAACCAAGAGAAGAACGAAGTCCAGGAAGCCCCTCCAAGGACACTGACAGCCAGAGACCAGCCAGGTGGGTACCAGGGCTGAGCTGAGTGCAACCCCTCCCCCAGCCTTTCCTCTTCCTCTTCTCCTTTTGTCTCTTTTCCCAAGGGTCTCAATAGGATGTTTCCTTAAAGGAGACAGATAAGGCAAACCCAGCATTCCTTTTGTGTCTGTGCGTCTCAGCTCCTGCCCCTTTTCTTTCACAGAGAGCTACCTCGCCTAAAATCACCAGCTATAAAATCTCAGTATTGGGAGTGGAAGATGCTGGGGCTCTTCAAGGGCTTGGTGTTAGAGGAACCAGAAGCAGATTCCAGAGCCCAAACTTGAACCCCCTGCCTCTCTATTACCTCTCGATAGATCTGTTGTTACTTTTTTATAAAGTGTTTGAAGACCAAGTAGTAGACTAGGTTGCACCCCGGGAGGTGCAAAGCATTCTGGAAATGGCAACTATTAGAGCTGTGTAACCCGGACATCCAGGCCTTTGGCCACCATTGCCCATTCCTGGTGCCCAGGCTTATGCTTTCGGTATCTGACCTCTGCGTATGAACACACGCTGCCAACTCATCAAGGCTTCCTTCCACTTTCTCTTCCAGCTACCAGACAGGTGCCTTGCAAAGGAAGCAGAGGCGGAGCCTACATTCCAAGGAGCGCCTGCTTCTGGCAGTGGGTCTCTCAAGCCCTCAGCCACGGAGTTACTAAATTTACCCTTCCCACTTCCACCCTTCCTGGCCTGGCCTTCATCATCTCTGTCACCATTTCCACCCAAGTTGGCAGAAAAGAGGCAGGAACAGTGCCTGGGACCCACTCCAGGACTGCCTGGGAAGAGGGAAGACAGAGGTCACTAACACACAAAACCCCACCCTGGCCTGGCTGCTCTGCAGAAGCACTGACTACAGGGGAGTTTCTGAAGACAGAATACTATAGGTCTGTCCATCCGTCTGTCTGTCTGTCTTTCTTTCGAGAGTAAAGACATGTGCCACCACCAGCTATCTCTAGGGCTTTTTGTATGCTTGGCAAACATTCTGCCCAATGGGCTATTAACCCCAGGACCCTGGGATAGTTTTTGTTGTTGCTTGTTAGCTGGGACAGGGTCTCAGTCTGTAGCTGACCTACAGCTTATTATGCAGCCAGGCTGGTCCAGAACTCCTGTTTTTTCCCTCCCAATTGCTGGGTTTACACCAGTCAGGTAAGTCAGCACTCCTGGATTGGGTAAGTCATTAATCGCCTCTCATTGTCAAATCAATCTTCTATAAAACCAGAATAATGATAATAATTAAAGGAAAACTAGCCAGACCAGGGCTTGTCCAGAACAGCACTTGCCTGGGGCTAGGAGTAGAACAGAGATAGATTGAATAGGCACAAGATTTTTGAGGCACTGTGTGCAAAAGAAATGTTCTTTTTGTGTGTGAAGGGGTTGTAACATGTGCACGTGTGTCTAGGAACAAGTGTGCAGAGATCAGAGGAAGACTTCAGGTCTGTGATGACTCTCTGAGTTATTCCCCCAAGTCGGGCTATCTCACTGAATCTGAACTGTGTTGGTGGCCATCAAACACCAGCAATCCTCCTGCCTCCCCGTGCACCCAGCTCTGGAGTTACAGACACTGGTACTGGGAATTTGAGTTTGGGTCTGCATGTCTGAGCAGCAGCCATTTTCACTGGCGAAGCCATCTTCCCAGCCTGCAACAGGATAGTCCTAAAACTTAAGACTCAACGATGGTTGCGTAGCTCTGTAAGTAAACTAAAAATAACTGCACACATCAGTTGGGTTGATTTTGTGCTCCACAGATTATTCCTAGAGAAAAGCAGTGAGAAGAGAGATTGGGAGCTGGAGAAATAGCTCTTCAGCTAAGAGTGCGTGCTGCTTTCCCAAAAGATGAGAGTTCCATTTCCAGCATCCACACACATGGTAGCCCACAACTGTTGGCAATTCCAGTTCCAGGGATCCCATGCCCTCTTCTGACCTCCGTGAGCTCCAGACACATACCTGAGGCACAGACATACATGCAAGCAAAGCAGCATACACATGAGAACACAAATTTAAATTGCTTTAAAAATTAAAGATTATCTGAAGGTCCAGGCAGTATACTAAGTCACACTCCACGAACTGCGGAGCAATCTAAAAACAGCAGCTATGATTAGCTGTGGAAGGCACACAGGTCTGGGCCTCAGTTTCCTCGTCTGTCCCACTGGAGTACCTGTACTATCACCCTGTGAAGCTCTTACTTACACTGAATAAACTCAACTGGAGATAAAGACTACAAAGGAATTAGGTTAGCGAGGGAGTAAGAGCGGCTCAAGGAGAAGTGAGAAGGGAATGAGAGGTTGAAATGAGAGGGAGAGATAAGGAGAGGTGTAGAGGAAGATAAGAAACCACACAGCAATTGGAAAGTGCCAGGCTATGGCTTTAGCACAGAAACCTAACCCACAGCACAGGAAAAAGACACCAGACCAACCTGACCCAGGCTCAGAAGGTGCCTTGACATAGGGATTTCACCACGGCCCAGGAGCCCTTTTCTTTTTTCTTTCTTTTTCTTTTTCTTTTTTTTTTCTAGACAGGGTTTCTCTGTAGCTTTGGTGCCTGTTGTGGAACTAGCTCTTATAGACTAGGCTGGCCTCGAACTCACAAAGATCCGCCTGCCTCTGCCTCCCGAGTGCTGGGATTAAAGGTGTGTGCCACCACCGCCCAGCCCAGAAGCCCTTTTCTATGACCCTAATCCCTTGTCCCTTGGAGAAGCAGTGCTGTCCCCTGACACTCTCCCCTGACTAATTCATTATGGTCCCACAGGAAGACTATCTATATCTAGGGCTGTAATTACCCACTCTGTAGGGCACTTCTTGAAAGCTCAGCTGTGCCCAGGTGCCAAAAAAAAAAAAAGAAAAAAAGAAAAGAAAAGAAAAAGAAAAAAAGAAAAGAAAAGAAAAAAAAAAAGCCCTTGTGGTGTGGTTTCCAATGCTGAGGAGCCGGCCTGGTTTCCTGCATCCACATGCAGATGCCCAAGCGCCTCCTAGCCAGGAAGGCAACAGGGGCCAGGCTGTGTGGCTATTGGGAACTTAGGGAATGAGGCCCTAGAGTACCAGGGCTGGGGACTCTCATTGGTAACCCCGTCCCATCCCCGATGTGCCAACAGCCAACAACACTGACACCTGTATGCAGGCCTTGGCACTTGAATAACGGGAAAGGGAGTCCTGGAGAGAGTCAACCAGCTCGGCCCTGGGCTCCTGAGTCCCAAGATGAAAGGTCCAAAGCCTTGGAGCAAAAGGCCAGGCCCCCTGCCCTCATCTGGGTCCCACAGGGCCAGCCAGTGAAATGCAATGGTCAGTGCATAACTGTCGGCCAAGGCCCTTAAAGGTCATAGTGACTTTCGTTTTCCCTGCTCACGTCCGCCCTCGAAGAAGGGCCATCCGCAGAGGAAGGAATCAGGACAGGAAGGAAACTGAGGCTGGGCAGGCAGATTGCCCAGGAGAGGTGGGGCGAGATTACCCACGGACCAGGCATGTAGAGAAGAAATTAGAAATAAGAAAAATAGGCAGAGGAAAAAAGGGTAAACAAAGAAGCGCAGGGATTTGGAGTGTGAAATCAAGAGCCAGGAGAGGAGGAAAAACCAAAAGCTGGCTAGGAGAAACTGGTGGTACAAGCCTGTAAACCCAGTTCGCACTACTCCGGATGTGACTACAGGAATAGCAGCCATTCAAGGCCAGCCTAGGCCTGGGCTACATGAGACCTTGTCTCAAAAAATAATGGCATTGCTGGGGAAGAGACAGTGAGCTCAGAGGAGACTGTGGTGGAGGCCCAGAGACCCCTCAGAAGCACGCGCATGTGTATGTGTGCGTGTGCGTGTGTGTGTGCTTGATTAAGAATGTGGTCCATAAGTAGAAGAGGTGGCAGAGGAAGAACTAGGCGCTTCAGAGCATCTGGAAGGGGAAAACTGTGAGGCAGGTGGGAAAAGAGGGAGCCCCAAAAGCGGGAGAGACGTGGACAACCCGGGACGGAGATGACAGCTAGGAATAAAGAGTAGATGGGGTGGGTACTGGGGAGAGACGCTGCAAAGGTGCACCGCACACAGAGGCCTGCCCCTCCCCGGGCCACCGGGTGGGACAAGGCTGCAGTGTTGGGCCGCCTGCTGTGGCCGCCCCGCCCGCCCGGACCGGGACAAGCGGCCTTTCTTCAGCAGGGCTGGGAGAAGAAGTCGCTTGTTTGCATGGTAGGGAAAGGGGGCGGCCTCGCAGCTGCAGGAAGGGAGCTGGTGTGTGGAGGGAGGTACGTGTCCGCGGGAGGCTGCGTGTTGAGTGGAGCCGCCTGCTCAGGCAAAACTTTCCCGCGCGTGGAGTGCGTGGTGTGAAGTGTACCGAGTGTGTAGTTAAGTCGAGGCTCATGTAAGGGATTCACGTGTGCACCGATGGTGTGACACTGGGCTGTCGGGGTGTGACGTGTCTTGCGGGTGGACGGAGGTGAGGCATGGGATGCTGTGCGTGGGAGCTGTGCGGATGCTCGAGTTGGTGGCCAGTCTTGTTTGTGTGACCGCTGTGGGGTGAGCCCGAAGTGCGATGAGTCAGTCCCCCGGAGCCTCCGAGACCGCTGAGCTAACGAGCCCAGAATGCAGCCCCACCCGGGCTCCCTGGGTCCCCCGCGGGGCTGCGCGGTGGCCGGCCAAGTCCCCGCTGCGCTGGCTTGAGCAGAAAGCGTCCGCGGCGCTGGGCAACCCCGCGCCCGGCGGCCCCACCCAGCTGCCTGCCCCGCTTCCCCCGTCCCGGGGGAGCCGGATGACGGGGCTCGGCCTCTGTAGGGGAACTCCGCGACGCTTTTGGATCCAGACCGCGGAGGCGGAGCGACAGCATGCGGCTCAGTCATCCCAGGTCGCCCTTGGAGGCTCCTGGGACCCTCAAAGACACGGGGGTCCTGGAAGAGTGCCCAGAGACCCTAGACGTGGAAACCCCAGGATCCCTCCCTGACTCCCACGCCTCAGAGCTGGGCTCCACATCTTTAAGTCCATCCAGGAAGCTGGCCCTGGGACAAGAGTGGAGACGCCCAGGGGATCCCCCTTCCTCTGGCCCTTAGGCTGTGGAGATGGACCAAGTGGGATGCTGTCGGCAAGTACACGCGCGCCTACCCCACCCGAGACTCTGCGAGTGTAGGACACTGGCCGTCGGGGTGCCCACAGGAGAACCGAGATCCCGCAAACTCGGGGGGGGGGGTCCCTCCGCAGGGTACCAGGGCCCCCTCTGGCGGTGGCGTTGGCAATGACTCGGAAGGGCAAAAGCAAGCAGTTCTTGCAGAGCGGCCCACAAAGCCCTTCCGCCGACGCACTCACCTGGCATGGCCCCTCTTTCACCTTTCTACCCAGCTCTCTGGGCCAGAACTGACCTCGTCTGGTCCCGGGGACTTTCCCTTCTGCAGACCCAGCTATCTATATACGGCGAATGGAACCCCAAGGCATAGTGGGGGGGACACGCTTACCTTGTGGGGAGTTAGGAGGGGGGACACCGGTCCCTTTGCCCGTCTGGGCCGCGGCGGCCTCCGGCTGGCTAGGAAGGACACTGTTGCTTTTCCACAGGAGCCAGCTGAGTAGGAGGAGAGGGAGCCTGTCCCGCCCCCCTCCCGCGAGTCCCCGCCCCCATCCCGTCCTGTCCGCCTGGCCAGCTAGAGAAGACGCCCTTGTGGGGCTGGAGCCCAAGGCCCCCACCCTGCCTTTCCCACAGCAGCACCTCCCCCGCCTGCACAGCGCCCGCTTTGTTCATCTGTACAGCTGGGTTTTCCTCCACCACCGCGGCCACTACCGTACACACCCTCCCCTCCTGCCCTCCCCTTTCGACCCTCCTAGACCACCATCCACTCTGGGCCTCGAGGCTCTTCATTACCCACTCCTACCCAAAATGCTTGAATCTTCCACTGACTCCCAGTGAGCCCTACCATGCATAGTCCTGCCACATTCTCAACGTTTCTCTCGGAACATCTACCGAGGGCACCAGGTCTTTCCCCTGTCAGTCCCTCCCTCTCTTTTCCTATTCCAAGCCCCATCATATAGAGCTGTAGACAGAATAATTGCACAGCAGGCCTCAGAAATTATCAGGAAATCACGTTAAAGTGTGGTGCCAACTACAGGACCCCGGAAAGCGGAATGGAGTCGTCCTCTTTGCCGCTTAGAGTCACCTCCATCACAGACCTGTTGGGTTACAGACCGACAGAGCTGGAAGCAGGGTAGAAAGCCACTAGGTTGGCTGAAGAGTGAGAGTTAGTGAGGAAGAAAAGAGGGGAGCAGTCTATAAACCGCTGGTGAAGTCATTCGCCAATTCAACCCCCACCCCGAAATCCAAGCTGACAGTGGAGCCTACCTTGCAAAGCCTGCTCTCGCCTCAGGAGACCGCTGGGAGGCCCCGCGGGAGCTGAACTCAACTAGACTGGGCCTCTTTAACCCGCACTGAAGGATTGGCAGACACTCTTCCTCAGTGAAGGAAGAAGCAGGAAGCCCCCAAGGCTGGCCTAAATTCCAGACGGGATGGGTTAGAGAACAGTTTTGGAAATGGACAAGCCCTGCTCTGATCCAGTGGCTTTCGTCTTCTGCCCTCTCTCCCTTACTCAGGAATGGCAGGAGTACCTCAGTGAACCGCAGGAATCTGGTCACTCATTGACGGGATTAGCCTTAGTGTGTGTGTGTTTGGGGAGTGGGGGGACTGACACACAGCTGAGCGGGGAAACAGCCAAGCAGTGGACAAGAGGGAGGACAGAATCCCACCTGCTACCTACTTAAGCTAAAGAGGTGAGACATACATGCTGGGAACCAGGAAGCCCCAAGATTTGTGCAGTAAGCTTCTTTCTACCTCTCTGTGTTATGTGAAGCTCATGGAACAAAATTTCAACCATAGCCAACCTTCCGGCTGATTTTAGTGTTTTTGAGCAAAAGGAGAAAATAAAATTCTCTTGTTCCATATGTGAAGACCTAGCATTTGGAGAAGGGGCTCAGACTGGGGTATCTTGAACTCTTCATTCTTCTTCTTAATCTCCGGTTGCTGTTTATTGACATGGTGAGGACTGTCAAACAATGATTAAACCTGCTGGAGGCAGATGGTGCTGAGGCAGGGGTTTTAAAAAAAAACCTCCCTTTTCTCAGTGTCCTTGCAGTGCAAGCACCAGCTGATCCCATGATCAAGGCTCTGTGAAATTCGTCCTATCTCCTGCTATGTCCGGCCTCTATGTTCCCACAATTCCAGCACTCAAGGGACTCAAGACCTCCCTCCCCCACCCCTCCACGCTCATCCCACTTCACATCTGGAGCCCATCAGCAAGCTCAGTGCTCTCTCTCTCTCAGTTATGCAAGAGGTCGAGCAGCTGGGAGTGCAGAAAAGGGGGAGGAAGAGAAGAAAGTAGAAAGCAGCTTTCCAAGAGTGCTTCAGACTTTCCGAAATGGAAGCAGGGGGAGAGGGCAAAGGCTGGGCGTGGAAGGAAGGGTGAGTTCTTCAAAGCCTTCTGTACTTGCCTGTGACTGTCCGGAGTGGATTTCCACACCCCTCCTGTCTCTCCCTTGGCACATTTCCCATTTTGTCCTTCTCAATTTGTGCACCCTCTGGCTCCATAAAAGGGTGACTGTCACCCATTTGGCCAATGGCCTTCCTAGTCCACTCCCTTTTCCGAAAAGCTTTCCCTCTTGTTTAACAGTTTCCTCAAGACTGAAACATTCTTCCCTGCAGGGAAGTTTCTTAAGCAGGAAGGTAAACAACTCAAGATAGTTTCAGGAAGTACCTGAAACTGACCAGATTCTGTAGGCCCCTCCCTGCCAGAGTAAGCAATAGAAGCCAAGAGTCCTTCTCTAGCAAGCTGAGCTGCAGAAGACTCTGGGGACCAGAACAGCTGCCGTGGCAGAGGCAGAGACCAACTGAGTCACCTGAAAAGAACTCTGACTCTTTCCAACCCGTCAAGTGGCTTGCACGCTGTGTAGTGTGCTCCAGGTTCCCAGCTTTTGTGAACTGTCACTGTGCTGGGATGGCCTTGTGACGCAGCTGCTTTGAATCATTTTTGCTCCTGTGAGTAACCCCAGTAAAACTCCTTAGTTCACCAAGTTGGACTTTGGTGGTATTTGTACTGTGGTCTGTCATGGGCTCCTTACCTGGGGTGGGTAGACACATGTTGTGTCTTCCCAGGAAAAGCTTTGTCATACAACATCTTGGTGACAACCCCTTTGGGTCCTGAACATTATCAGTATATAGGTGTGGCGGCACTAATGACACCAGATACTTCCTCACTGCATCCAACTTGGTGGAAAGCATGCCCAAATGTTACCCTAACGTGGCAAAGCAGCTCTTTTATCAGTTGGTTTTAGAAAATGTTCACAATCCACACTTGTACACAAATGCAGTCAAACTGTGTGAGAAATGTGGCCAGGACTGAACTGGTCTTGTCTTCCTCTGTGGCTCAGGACCTGCCTGTGAGCGGAAGAGGACAAACACTCAGGACTGGTGCAGAGTGCATGCTGTTTGGTATGCGCGTCTTGAATGCAATCCCCAGTACCCAATGCACATTTATTTGGGAAGTCAAATCAGTTCTGTTTCTCTCGTTGCCTGGAATTTGCAGGGCCACTCATTCAGACAGTTCCTGTTCTGGTTTGTTGATCAACCTTATCAAATGGAGGACACCCAAGTGTTTCCCAAAATTGGATTAGGACATTTTGGGGCTGTGAGGTGTTTCAACTATATCACATTGTAACCAATTTGTCATCTATAAAGGTCACACTCAGGATCCGTGTAATTGAGTTAAAGGGTGTATGTAGGGGCCCTGGAGAGATGTCTCAGCTGTAGAGAGCACTGGCTGCTTTTCTAAAAGACCTGGGTTTGATTCCCAGCACCCAAATCAAGTGACTTACAAACCCCTGTAACCGACACCAGGAAAATCTGCCACCTCTGGCCTCTGACAGCACCTACACTCATGTGCACTTACCCACACACAGGCACACACATACACATACATACACATTATTGAAACTATTGAAATAAAAATTCCCCAAAAAACAGCAAAACCATTCATACTTTGAGTAAGTTTATGGTTTTGTTGGGTCAAATAGCTATCCTCAGTCACAATCACTTAGTCCCTGCCCAGTGAGTAGCAAAGTAAAAGACTTTCGCTTTTGGCCTGGGGACAGACAAAAGAAGTTGAAGACACACAGACAGAATATTGTATATATAATAAATAAATATTTTTTTAAAAAAAGGTTTATTATATATACAACATTCTGCCTGCATGTATGCCCAAATACCAGAAGAAGGTGCAAGATCTCATTACAGATAGTTGTGAGCCACCATGTGGGTTGCTGGGAATTGAACTCAGGACCTTTGGAAGAGCAGGCAATGCTCTTAACCACTGAGCCATCTCTCCAGCCCCTCTCTGGCTTCTTTAAAGGCCTGCTTTGTGTCAACCACAAATTCTGTGGTACAAAATGAGACATATGTTAGAGATGCTCCCCATCCTTAGACATCAACAATACACCGATGTGGATTTTTACACATTGTCTTAAAGAGGCCCTAGAGATGCAAGTATTTACAAAAAGGTGCAGGGGGGCTGGAGAGATGGCTCAGAGGTTAAGAGCGTTGCCTGCTCTTCCAAAGGTCCTGAGTTCAATTCCCAGCAACCACATGGTGGCTCACAACCATCTGTAATGGAGTCTTCTGGCTTGCAGGCATACACACAAAGAGAATATTGTATACATAATAAATAATAAAATATTTGGAAAAAAAAAGTTTAAAAAAAAACAACAAAAAGGTGCAGGGAAAGGGATGGAGGGCATAGTTGGGAGGAAGCACATGTGTGGCGAGGGAGTCATTCCTGAGGCTTTGCTTCTGAGAAGCCAAGGCAAGAAACTCCACTGTAGTGAGCATGGAAACAGAGTTTTCATTACACTCCACCCACCTTTCCCTTCCTTCCTTCATCCTTTTCTCTCTTTCCTTCTGGCCTGGAACTCACAGAAATCTACCTGCCTCTGCCTCCCAAGTACTGAGATAAAAGGTGTGTATTGTGAATGTTCCTGGTGCTCACTGTGGCCAGAAGAGGGCACTAGATCCCCTAGAACTGGAATTGTGGTTGTGAGCTGTTGTGGAATATTATTTTAGCTGTGTAAAGATGTTACATTTGTTTATACTATATTTGTTTAAGTATGTAAAGATATGTTGCATTTGTTTCTCCTTGCCTGCCTAAGGCACTTGATTGGTCTAATAAAAAGCTGAGCCGGGCGGTGGTGGCGCACGCCTTTAATCCCAGCACTCGGGAGGCAGAGGCAGGCGGATCTCTGTGAGTTCGAGACCAGCCTGGTCTACAAGAGCTAGTGCCAGGACAGGCTCCAAAGCTACAGAGAAACCCTGTCTCGAAAAACTAAAAAACAAAAAACAAAGAAAAAGCTGAATGGCCAATAGCTAGGCAGGAGAGGGATAGGTAGGGCTGGAGGGCAGAGAGAATAAATAGAAATCCTAGGAATGAGAGAGAAGGAAAGGGACATGCCTGGGTCCACCAACCAGACACAAGAAGCAGTGAAGGTAAAGATATACAGGAAGAAAAAGAAAAAATTCCAAGGCGAAAGATAAAAATAGGTTAAGTTA